ATATTCTATTACACACTAATTTTATATTTCATATCCTGTGGTGCATTGTTTAAAATGTGAATGCAATGCTGTTCTTTTTTATTTCTTTTATTTATCCTTTTTTCTTTTTGTTGTTGTTGCTTTCTATTTTTAAAATCTTATAAAATTTATGAGGAAATTAGATACAATATTGTAATGCACGCTGAAAATTCCATACCTGTACCACAAATACTGTTTGGAATAAAGCTAATATTATTATTATTATGATTGAAATCCTTAATGTACGTAAATATTTTATTATTATTTATTTACTATTGAGAAAGAAAAAGACTCTAGTATTTCATTTTTAGACGTCCATATGACCAGAAAAGAGGACGGCACAATAAGAAGTGTTTATAGAAAACCTACATCAACGGGCCAGTACACATATTTTCTCAGCTTTGTGCCCTTGAAATACAAAGGCAATCTAATAAAGTGCTTGGTCCACAGAGCAAGACAGATTTGCTCGGACGAATGTCTTCACGAGGAACTGAACAATATTAAACGGTTGCTAAGTGAGAATGGTTATGCTGAAAAGTTTATTGATGAGAATCTGAAATCAAAGCAGCCAAGTTACCAAAATATTCTGTGTATATAAACATATATATAATTGTAAAGCCGGAAGAGGAATTTATCGAAAAGAATATTCTTAGCTCGATTATTTTGTGTTTTATTTATTTTTATTTTAATCCTTTGCGTTTCAAATGGAACATAGGGTTTCAAGAGAGTGCTTAGAATTTTCTGTAGCAATGGTTTCATTTTTACTGAGTGGGGTTGCTAGTCTCACGCCCAACCGTTTCCTCTTTACCGAGCTTATCACACCGGCTTAGAGGAATTTAGAAGTGCGTCGGTGGAGGATCAAACGCCGGACCACGTGTGTGGTTGGCAAGAATTCTACTGATGAATTGCCGACGCCCTAACGGATGTAAATACTTGGGATATATGATTGAATGTATTAGGAATTATTGATTATTTAGTGTCAGGATAAGTTAAGTTAATTTCAATATTAGATGTAAAAAGGAATTCCGGCATTCGATTTTCAGTATGAAGGTCATATCTAGTGTATGTGTGAACTGTAGTAAACCAAAAGTACGGTGTTAGACATACATTTAAGAACAGATGTCCTTCATCCTATTGTCTTGCATTATTACCTCAGCTCACCAGACGGCTATTTTCATTTTTCTTGCCCAATAAACTTATTTACTTTATTGTTTATTAACTTATCCCTGTAGAATTTTATTTTTTCTTTTACAGTGAATATCGAAAATTTAACAATGAACTCTCTATTGTTTGTCATTGTAGTCTTTATCCAAGATTTTCACGGCAATAGTCTTTGCTTGGGTTATCGAAACGTTTAAATGATTCTATTCTTTTATTTTACTTCCATTAATTTTTTGACTGTACCAAGAGTAAATATCTGAACTTTATTAGTTATGCAACACTTTTTAAAATCAATACTAGTATTGCATTAAAGCGGCAATAGTCGTCAAAAATTCTCACATTCTGTGTGTGCATAATGTTCGATTTATTCCAAGATGTCACTGTTTTAACAGTAACCATACGAATTAGTTAATTTTTTGTTTTCCGTAAAATTATTCATGCATTTTTATGCTAAATTGGTTTGTTGTTGTTGTCGCAGATTTTTTCTCTCATTCATTTTACTGATTTGTGTGTCATTTTATCTTCAACATATGCTTGAATCACAAGTTCATACAGTTTCTTTTCCTTCATCAGTATGAATTAGTAATCTTGTTGTTTTACATAGACTTTCCATAAGTAAACTTCATTACCTTTTGATTCACTTTACATATTTTAATATATACCGTGATAACTGCAGTTTGTTATTTTAGTTCCGGGTAAGTGATTGACTGACTGACTGAATGAATTTCAACATAGAACTTTGCACAAAGATGCAGCATTTCAAATTGCCAAACTCTGTGATTTCGATGAGGGGGGATGGGGCAGTGAATTGAAAACTCCTGTTTTGAATATCCTCTAATCTTTCATAGGATAAGTTGATAAACAGGATACAAGTAACGCATATTCAGCTGATAGAATTTAAAAATTAAGTTTTCCTAAGTGAACGTAAAAGTTTAACCGTATCTTTCGATAATTGTATTTCAATGAATTATAATAAAGATTTGAAATAATTCAAATCTGACACTATAGTTACCTTATCCAATATTCGTTAAAGTGAACACAACCGAGTAATTTGCAATTAATAGTGTTCTCTGAGCTGGTTGGTTTAGTTGCGAAGCTTTCGTCGTCCTTCTGGACATCTTCAGCGCAATATTTAGCATAAAGTGAAATGATTTAAATTTCTTCATGAGTGATATAGTTGTGTCTCCCGGTAACCATCTTCACATATGTATTGATCATTTTCTATTGACTTGAATTTTAAACTTTCTGGTCACCTGATTTACTTTTTATCAGTTGGTATATTTCGTCTATATTAACGTGTTTATTGATTGCATTTTCGTTTGAGTACCAGGCTTCTAGGAATTCCCTGGCTTTTTTGGTGTTTCCTCTGTCTAAGATTTTGACATTATCCCAATCAAATTGAAGGCCATAATTGTATATATGCATTGATACGAAAGAATACATTTCGTGTCTTTTCACGGCTGATTTGTGATCTTGGATTCTGATTCGAAGGGGACGCCCACTTTGGTCGATGTAATGCTTGTTGCAGTTCATACAATTTATTTTGTAAATAGTATTAATTTTATCCTCTTTTTCTGTTGGGTGTTTTGGTTTGCATAATATGGAATTAAGCGATTTTACTGGTTTGTGTGCTATATCTATATCTAACGGTTTCAGTATTCTAGCTGTTATTTCAGAGATATTCCTCATGTATGGTAGGATGAATTTTCTTGTGGTCTTTGATGATGGTTTCTTGTTGGTGTTTTGATTCGACTTTAAACACTTTTTGATGAAATTTTGTGGATAACCATTCTTTTTGAAAACCGTTTGTAGATATTTTATTTCATTCTTTTCAACTCTGTAGTGCTACAATGTGTTTGAACTCTTTTACACAATGTCTGCACACAGTTTCGTTTGTGAGTAATTGGATTATTGCTAGTATAGTTGAGTACAGTTGATCCGTGTGGGTTGATTTTCTATATACTTGTGTTTCTAAATCTCCTGTGTTGGTTCTCCTGATTAAGACATTTAAAAATGGGATTTTGTTATCTAATTCTTCTTGTCTTGTGAACTTGATGTACAGCTTCCTTACTTATGACTGTGTGTGTGTAGAAGATAGACAGTGTGAACTATGTTGCTAACCAATAATACTTTTGAAACTGGGATGTAAAAGAACGTTTTCATATATTGAGTTAGATATTTTAAGCACATTATATAAATGATAGTGGAGGTCTTCTTCAAAGCTATCTCATCTAATCAGTGTTTTTTTCATTTCTTTGCGTCAAGCTAAAGCTTTTAATTTTTAGTAGCGGTGTTGCTGAATTTTACGAAATAGGGTTGGTAGCGCCATGTCCAGTCTTCTCTCTTTATCGCAGCTACTACCGGTCATGTGAGTTTTAGGAGTGCCAATACCAAGAATCGAACCCAGACAGTATGCACAGTTGGCGAGAATTCTACCAATGAACTCACAGTAGACATAGTTAACTTTACTTGTTACACACATTTTTTGGCTAAGTTGTGATGATTTCATACAACATGGCTGCTATAATTTATCGTTATCTTTCCTTTTGATTTAATAAAACATGAAAACTTTGCAATAAAAAGGCTACAGTTCATTATGCTTAAACAAGTTGGTGAGTACGCTTCACATTGCTTTTTTTATTTGTTATAGTTAATCGCTCAAAATGTGAACACAGCTAGAATAAATCAATCCTATGTAATTTTCTCCATTTTTTTTGTTATATCATTATTAATTTATCCAAAACTTATCGCTTACACTAACATATCTATCACATGCTGACGACTGTATTTGCCTGTTTACTAGACAAATGTCAATATCAATCTATGTTAAACATTTCATTGGTTAGTACTAACTAACTAACTAACTTGATCAGAGAAAAGTTTGGTCTTTCCTTTTTTAGTTCATGTGACATCATACCTAATTGACTAAAGTGTATGTATTGTTGAGAATCAGAATGCATCTTTTATTATTTTTTTTCATGTAAACAAAATATGCATATCATCACCATGATCATCATCAACCTCAATATCCAATGCTAATTAACTTTATCTTGATTCATCTTTTAGCAGAGTTTATATTTTGCCATAGAGTAGTTGTAGCTAATGTATTCAGTCCTTATGTGTGTGATGTTTATGCATTCAAGGAGTGGCATTTACTTCTGTAAATGAGTTTTTATTACAAATCACTATATTCAGGTGAACAGATCTCAAACCACGTGAGTCCATGGTTCAAGGGTAGAATGCAGGTCTACCAAGTGGGAGGTCTCGGCTCAGTTCCCGGCTGATACACTCCTAAGCCTTGCCTAGTTTACTAGTCGGTAGTCAGGTTGGAAAAGATGCAAAACTCAAAATATTCCATGATGCTGCTTTTTATCCTGCAATCTTCAAAGTATTAGCAAATAAAAACTTCAAAAAAACAGCTCCGTGAAGGAGTATTCATTGGTTTTCATTTCTGAAGCCTTAAAAAGCTTTCAAAACGAAAAAATGAACATCCTGTTATAAGGTGAAAGCTTAAAAACATCGCTACGCATATCGATCTCAATCGAAATTTAACTCGAATATCTTTCTGCTAGATTGAATACTCGATTTCTAAAGGAACCGCAATTACCTGCTGAGTATTAGTCATTAGTCTTCTCATTCTTGCTGAGTTACATATGGAGTTACACACCTTCAACTCAACATAATTACTAAATCAATCTACTGAAAATAGACTGAGTACATCCTATTCGCTTACAAAACATGAAGAGGAAATTAGACTCAAACAAGATATTTGAGTGTACAGCAAATAAATATTAAATGACGAAAAAAGAATCATAGATCACCTTCATAAATTGATCGACGTTCAGCTTCTGTCAACTGGTGAGTTTTGGTTACATTCTGATGAACTGTACGCGGATGATTAGTAACACAGGTTCCAGTACAACGATTAGAACAATACTGTCCAGGATAAATATTTCCGCCATCATGCAATGCGAGACGTTCCATTAGTCTATGTATTTCATTTTGCTGGATTTCATTTTTTAAACAAACAAGAGAAATTATTCAGTTTAATTTTATATGGGAAGTTAAGTACTTCAAACATATATCTCATCAAAAGGTCAAATATCGGGTCGTAGTAACGATCACTATTAATACAAATAAATACAATCCTAAGAAAATCTCCCGAGACAACCAGTGACAGTCAGTAATACTATCAAAGACGGGTATTATATCGACAAAAATTTTCGAAAGCTCCCTTGACATTAAAGTTATTGCTTAAGATGTTACCTATAAAGATATTGAAAGTCTTGCCATCAAGCTGGCAAGTTGAGACAGTACACATCAAATACACCCAATTAAGCTATCGATCTTTTGCATTATTCCAAATTTACTTTCACAGAGTAAACAACAAAGCCTCTTCATTGGTTAAAAATATGATTTTTATTAACAATGAAATAAAATCCTACAGTTTTATTGTTTGAATTCTAGGAGTGTGCATATTCATTAATTTATTCACCGGTATTTAATCCATATTCGTTTACCGGTGTCAGCTATTCAAAACACAGGAAATACGGGTATACAGATCTTCACTTTTCATCCATTTCATAGGTAGAATTATATTTGACTACAGTGGTACATATCTCTTATTTTTGTAATAGAGCATTGAAGCTCGAAAGAAACTGTTCCTAGTCTATATTAGTTTGTCTATTGGTTATTTTGCACAGTGAAACAGTGTTATTTGCTGGATGACGTTTCACTATGATATATATCCATCAGATAGACAAATTAATACGGAATTACATTCTACGGCAATGCCTAGGTTTTATTATATACTTTAATTGGACACTAGTAACAAGTGTCCGATGTGTCTAGTCCTTTGTTTAGTGCAGACTGAATTCTGTCAGTCAGGTTTAGGTTTAAAATGTGGCCACCATTCTAGGTAGCTCGGCATCACGGTACACTTTGAATTGTTGATGTTATATGGTTTCCTCCAATCATCTAACATAAATAGGTCCTATTTTATTAACCAAACAATTAGTAGGTTTTTTTCAAACACATCTCGAAAGTAAATTATCACATGCTGTCGTAAGTTATCCGAAACGGTGATGGTCTGTGCTGGGGATTTATATCTTTTGAGTCAGTCAGCAAAATACTATCACTCACACAGCATAGTAACGATCTGACTTAAGCAATGAGAAAGGAAATTTTGCATATCCCGAAGAGCAAAGATGTTATCAAGATTTCGGATAAGCCTAAAAGTTTGAAGCACAGATCAAGCGTGAAATTCTGCCAAATAAATTCATTTGTTCAACGTTGTTAACTCTTCCTCAAATATGAAAACAGCTTTCAATTTTGTTTTAAAATTTAATATACATAAGTGAACTCATTTTTAAGTTTTCATTCTTAAAATTACATCTATTCCTTTTTTTACCACATACATTTGCTAGAAAGTAATTTTATTTACTATCTTACTAACAGTATACTTTTGTGTACCTTAGTCTATATATCTTTTTTATATCCAGAAATTAAGTGAATTCTTATCATAAGCATTTCCTTCACTTTTCTAGGAAGCATCGTATGAACTATGGGCGGAACGGATGAAGATGTCACAGTGAAAATTGGAAAAGCAAGATACACCTTCATCAATCTGAAATCAATTTGGAAAACTTCCACTCTCAGCAAAAAGAAAAGGATTCTGATTTTCAACACTAATGGAAAGTCAGCCTTTCTGTACGACTCAGAAGCCTGGCGCGTCACGAAAAGCATTTCCAGCAGGTTGCTTTCACTCCATATTGAAGATCAAATGGCCAGAAAGAATTAGCGACAAGAAATTAGGGGAACAAATTAACCAAGACACTATCACTCAACAAATATGTTGCAGAAAATGGATATGGATAAGGCCCACACTGAGGAGGCTGTCGAATGACATCGCGTGCACTGCAAGCCATTGATCCAGTGGAATCCCAACGGGATGTGACGAGTGGGTCGTCACTTCGAGGGTGACATGGAGGAGATCGTGAGAGGAGGAGATGAGAGATTTTGGGCAATCTTGGACCCAGCTGAAGAGGCAAGCAGAAAATAGAAGAAAGTGGAGGTGTGTTGTTAAAACCCTCTGTTCAACTGGGAACCTACGGGAACAATAATTATTATTGTCGTAAGCATAATTATCTACGCTTATTTATTTGTTTAGGCTTGAATAAAAAACTCGGAACAAGATAATTCGTACTCAGTGAAGTATAGTATAAGCATCTCTTAAGTAAACTAGTTTTCGTTATTATTATTCAATAACCCAGAACAAATATCTCATCTGGTATACTGAGCGACATACTTATATTGTGGCAAGTAGTAATCCTACCCACTTACTCATACCAAACTAGCTGAAGCAAGAATCGAACCTGACACCCGTTGGTAAAGAAGTTGATTGCTTAACCCAATGAGTCACATCTTCAAATTATGTTAACCAGATACAAAACGTAGCCTAAAATGGATAAATACACGACTAGACTACAATCCATTCTAACTTTAAAACTGATGATACAATCAGTTAATAAGTTGTAAATATGGTTTTTTGCGCATTAATATCATTTCTTATTTTCAGTGACTGGTGGAAAAGTATCACTTCAGAATAAGTTCTCAAGTAGGTAAAAACGAAGGAATCGACTATGCAGTAAGCATTTTTCTGTAGCAAATCTTATACACATTTGGGGAAATCCCTTGTACAGTTGAAGAGATCTATTCTCTGTCTTTAATAATGCCATTCCCTACTATTACCGAAGACAGTCTTGATTGCGGTAGGCTGGATTATACAAAAGACCGTCAGGAGTGGGAAGACAGACATACGATGGACAGACGAGAAGATACTGGATGATCTGAGCTTCACAGGTGATTTGTGTCTAATTTCATACAAAATCGAAGATCGAAAGTCAAAAACCAACAGGTCGGTGGAAAATGAAACGAAGACCGGACTTGAAGTGAACATAAAGAAGACATAGGTGATGAACACACATATCCAACAATTAGAAGCGTCAATCATCATCAACGGGAGAAGTTCAAAGGAGGTTACCTCTCTTACTTATCTGTGCAGCATTATTTCAAGTACGAGCAGAACAGATACGGATATCAAATCTAAGATCAGAAAAACAATACAGACCGTCACTACTCTGAAATCAGTGTGTAAGCCTACTGCACTCGGTTTAAGATTCAGATTTTCAACACTCATGTCAAGTTAGTTCTTCTATATGGTTCAGAGACTTGGTACTTGAAGAAAAGCATTTCCAACAAGCTGTAGACTTTCATCAACAGCTGCCATCTCTGCATATTGAAGGTCATATGACCAGAAAGGATAAGCAACTAAGAACTCTGGGGACGAACCAACCAAGAACCTATTTCCCAACAAATATGTAGAAGGAAAGATGGACTGGAGACACACTAAGGAAACGCTTGAGTGGCATTACGCGTAAAACTCTTGAACTGAACCCGAATTGGAAATGAAGAGTTTAGCGTCCAAGAGTAACATGAAGGAGATCGTGTGAAGAGAAGATGATAGCTTATCGGAAGGAGGGTCGTAGAGACAGCTAAAAAGGACTGCAGAGAACAGGGTGAAACTGAGGTGTGCTGCTAAACCCTTTGCTCTCCTCAGGACTCAAGAGAATAGCAGCAATAGTAAATAATCAAAAGTCATACTGAAACGAAATATAAAATGGTTTCACTTGTGTAAAGAACAAAACAAACTTGTTCGTTTAGCTTCTTTTGTAAATTGATTTTCTCTTGAATAAATGTTACACGATCATTGTTTAAAGTATTCATCAATCTTTCAATTTCTTGTTTGACAACGCTTAGTACGCCTAATTCTGTTGTTGCTGATGCTGTAACTGTATGTTGGAAAACAAAAGAAGGAAAGATGATGAAATTCAACGCTACCTGATATTTGACTTTTACAAGGATTAGAAGTTTAGATTTATTAAGTATATTATTAGCATATTCGAAAGGTAGAGATGATTATGGATTTTTTGAGTTTAAATGTCCTTGGCAGTTTTATAAACAATTATATCAACCTGACATATGGTAGAAAAACCAGGGATATATATATATACAGAGAGACTAAGAGAAAAGGGTAAATGTATGTCAACTGATATGTAATAGAAAATGATCGATCTAGAGATGTTTTCTTTCACTCCTTAAAACTCATATGATTAAAAGGAAAATAAGTATTCTAAATTTGAGACAGATATAATTATTTAGAGATTGGTACAGCTCGTTATGCGGTTAACTGGTGAGATTTGTTAATTACGGATAGTTTGTTGATATTAGATGGTTGGAGGCAATCAACAGGAAGCCTTGCTCGACCTAGGTTTAGTGCTAGTTGGCACTCACCAGTCAGCAAGGCGTATCTACAAACTTGAAGGAACTCATGTCCCTTCTGAGATTCGAATCCGCGTCACTCAGTGCTGCAGTCAGAGACGTTACCACTGAGCTGTTTGGGCTTGCGATTGACCTCCTGTAGGACTGTAGTGGATATTTTTAATTGGACACTAGAAAGTAACTAGTGTCCAATCAAAATACAGATAGTTTGTTTTTGACTAAAGTTCATCATGTATTTAGTAACTAACATGTACTCTTAGTAAGTGTCGAATGAATATTTCGAATGAATGACACATTTTGAAGTATATCATTAATTCCGTGAATGTTTCAGCAACCATAGAAATATGTAGATCTTCAATTAACGACACATTGGTTTGCTGGCTTTAGTCAGAATATAAGAAAAATATATATGTATGATAATTAATACTAATATAAAGTACTTTCATTCCTCTGGGAGTATTTCATCAAACTACTGTAGACAGGATTTTCCTAGAAAAAGATTTTAGCTTATCTTTATTCTTTTATGGATGAGATAACATCAGCATGAATAGTGAATCTGAAACTGTTTAAGCAAACACATAACTTACAACGTCACTAGATGTAATGTACTTTCAAGGACAGCAGTTTCAGATTCATTATGATAAACCTACATTTTGGGCCTAACGTTGGAATAAACAGCAGGATAATTATATGGAGCGAGTCGATAGCACAGTGGTTAGGACGCTCGCCGACCATGCACATGGTCCAGAGTTCGATCCCCACCCGACGCACTCCTTTACCTCGCTAAGCCAGAAATAAGACTGGTTAAGAGGATAGGTTGGGCATGAGGTTAGCTACCTCATCCTGTAAAAAATAATAAACACTGCTACAGAAACTTCAAGCCACTAGCTTGAAGCCCTATGTTCCACTGAGGAACGTGAAGGAATAAAAAAAATAATTATATGGAGAATTCTTGTATGAAGTGTGTAATACAATTTCTCTTATGAGAACATTTGTTGGAGGCGATTTTACATGAAGTAGTTGGGATTATCATTTCTCACCCTTTCATATAAATGGCTTGCAGGCGTTGTACGAAGAAGAAATAATTTACTGACGATGTTAAAGGTACCGCTGTACATCTCATTTGGCGAAAATTCTTAAATCTTAGAAAATCAAAGGTTATAGCTTTAAAAAAGCAGTTCTCATTGTTTTGGTGATATCAGTTTGATAGCCCTAGAATACGCCTATGTTAATTGCTTTATGTATTGTTTTATATAATAACAGTTCTAGAATATGCTTTAGGGAATCTAGACATTATTGTTGAGCTGACAAATGGTTCACATAACACAACACAGATCTAATCCCAGTCAGTACCAGTTTCTATAGCTGTGATTTCAGTATCACTGCTAAAGTGGTTGCCTTTAAAAGTAACGCATAGCTCTATTATTTACGGTCTCCTTAGGGTTAAAACTTGAAGCTAATCAATTTCCCAAAACCCTGACAAATTTAAAAGGTAATTGAAGTCACAATGCGTTAGAGTAACTTGGTGACTGATAAACAAATGCTGCTAACATGCCTGACATTAATCAGTACACATATACTTCCAAATAAGAAAGTATTTTACTAGGTACTATTACAAAGTCAGCAGGTAGTAATAATAATAATGTCATATCATATTACTTTATAAGAAAATGGGACATGTATTAACATCAAAAAGATGTGACATAAAATGTCTGCAGTTTAGAAGTTGAAAAGACTGACAGAGCAATAAGAAGCGCGATCATTGAACATCTGGTCGATAATGATCACCCTGTCTCTATAGCCTCCACCTTTAAAGTCATCTACAAAGCAAAGAGTAATTTACCCAAATCCCTAGGTACCCGACTCATATGTATTCCTGAAGCTTTGGCTATCGAAACAGAAAAAGTTCGTTCAAACCCTCCAACTCTCATGGTCTTAATCCCTCTATGCTGAAGTATGCTAATCCCCAATCATATTTTGGCTCTACCAATTTTTCATTTTTTCATTTTGTCTATTCAATTTGTATTGTCTTCCTTATTAAGTCAATTGTTACTATTACTACTCTCACTTTGAACTGTTCCCGGTATTATTTCACTTGTTCCACTTGTCATTCTAAATCAATTCTTTTTTACAACGTTAAATTCTATGCTATCAAATTTCACACAATATTACGTAACGTTTTTATTTTATTCGATTTGTCTACTAATCCTATAATTACATACCCTTTTCAAGTCCTATCCATCCTATGAATTATTCTATATATGACATTAATTTGTTTTGCCACTTGACATTTAACTATGATTATAATCACAAACATTTTAGTTTTAATTGTATTTTATACTACTATTATTATTATTTTATGCATTCACAACTATGATTCAATTGCCACAGCTGATATAACTTCTTAAAAACCATATACATACGATTGTACAGCTTGATGATAAATTCGTTGAAAAGAGTCTCTTCGCTGAATCAGTTGTTTTGATTTTCTATATAAATCTATGACAGATGACATTTCAGTGAGTGATAATAGATAGAAAATAAATCCCTTACCACTGAGAAACCAAACCTCTTGAAGCCTATTCATACAGGGAGAGAAAAAGACGAAATGAGCGCCTGACATAATAAACCTTGGGTAAACCATACAGCAGCTCAAAATTTTCCACATAAGGTTTAAGCAAATATAAACTGTTTGACGAACCAAGCGTCAAATAAGATTATCCTAAATAAATAGGACATAATCTAACGGCAATGGATAGTGGCATACACTGGGTGATATTAGGTGTTATCGTGATGTTATGTTTTGGTTGTTCTACGTTGTTTTCAGGTGTTTCTTTCAACTGAAATACATTATAAATACCATATTTTAACGAAAAAACTTAGAAAAATGGTGGAAAGTAGACGTAGTGAGCATTTTAAGTGGACATGTATGTGCCAACGAATTTCGTTGTTTCTGTGCATATGGAATGTTAAAATTCTGTGTAAATTGTTGATTACGTTAAGAAAAACGAAACGTATACGTAAACTCGAAACCACCAGTCACAACGTGCAAAAGTGACCTAGAAGTGCTTAACCTCTCCGTAACCCGTGTGTGCCGCTATCCATTGTCTAATCTAACAAGTTATCTGAGGTTAAGACATTCCAGAAAAGCATGCAGAAAACAACGAAATAGTTGATTATGAATAATAAATAATCCACTAAAATAACTGTTATTAATTACAGCTCATTAATAGAACGTCTTAACTGACAATTACTCTGAGCTAATTCCATATTAGTTTGTTCATTAGATGTACCACACAGTGAAACAGTATTATTTAATGGATGACGTTTCGAACAAAATTTGCAATCTATTTTCTTGGCATTCCCTTTACAGCCAAGCATCGCCAGAGAACCTCCCTGTCGACAGAATCGAATGCCGCCTTTAGGTCAAGAAATATAATGATTGTCGGACGCCGGTAGGAATGCCTATGTTCTAGAATCTGTCGAAGGGTGTGAAGTGGTATAATAAGGTGAGCAATATTGAGGTTAGGCGTCGAGTGCTAGGTAAGGCGGGGAAATCAATCGACGAAACGGTGAAATTACTTCGACTGAGATGGTTGGGACATGTGCTACGTATGCCTAGTCATCGCCTTCCTCGACGGGCAATGTTAGCTGATATAGGGTCAGGCTGGAAAAGAGCCAGCGGCGGTCATACCAAAACATGGCACCAGTCAATGAAATCTACAACAGTTAGTCTAAGCCACGTAGAGAGGTGTAGACTTCCTGGTTGGGGCCCTCGGGATGGTAAAAACCAATGGTTGGAAACAACTGGTGACATGGCTCAAAATCGTTCTCAGTGGTGCAGACTCATCCACTCCTTGTGACTTATGATTTCCAATTAAACTGTTTTGTTCTCCGTTATTACTATTCCTTTGTCTCACACCTCTGTTTACTGTCTATATTATGCATTTCTTCTACTTCCTTCTCTTGCTTTGTGTGCTACATGGAGTGTGGCAACTTGAACTGTCGCACATATGTGCAAAGTTCTATGTCGAAAACCGACCGACCGACCGACCGAACAAAATTTATTGTTCATAATCATATGAGTTATAATCATACGACTTTGAAACTTGAGTTCTATAGTTTTCTTTGTTCTCTCCTATTCATCGTCGTAGGGTTAGTAGAATTTTCTAGATATCTGGGACAGGTGTTGAATCATTCCTATTACATGTATTTGCAGTTGATTCGATAAACAAAGCTTCCGTTATTAATCTCTCCCTCCACCCCGTGACATTAGATTTCAAAACTGTCATCCTATCCCATCCTATTGTATGGTTGTGTGTAACTGTATGTAGTGCTATAGCTGAAATATTCTCTAGATTTCTTATCTTATTTGGATCAACCAATCTAGATTTTGCTAGGTTTTTATGTTCAGCTAGTCTGACTGCCCTGTTCTACTAGTTCGACCTAGCTGAACATCAAAACCTAGCAAAATCTAGATTGGTTGATCCAAATAAGATAAGAAATCTAGAGAATATTTCAGCTATAGCACTACATACAGTTACACACAATTATACAATAGGATGGGATAGGATGACAGTTTTGAAATCTAATGTCACAGGGTGGAGGGAGAGATTAATAACGGAAGCTTTGTTTATCGAATCAACTGCAAATACATGTAATAGGAATGATTCAACACCTGTCCCAGATTTCTGGAAAATTCTACTACCCCTTCGATGATGAATAGGAGAGGACAAAGAAAACTATAAAACTCAAGTTTCAAAGTCGTTTGATTACAATTGAAATGATTATGAACAATAAATTTTGTTCGAAACGTCATCCAGTAAATAATACTGTTTCACTGTGTGATACATCCAATAAACAAACTAATATGGAATTACTTACTACCACAGTGCCGAAGTTTTACACATATATTAACATTTTGAGCTAAGTTTTCTGACTGAAAACTTTTCATAGTTATGCTGGCAATTAACTTCACTACAATGGTCACTTTTTTTCTTCTATAGTGACTCAAGTTCAGTATTTAACACTGCTCTTTTTAAACCTTTCCTCTTTCTAACTACTGGGAAAAATGATCTGCGAGTGTCAAATCATTCATCACTGACTTAATTTTCAAAAGTCTCAGAAACAGACTGTCAAATAGTTCTGATCCAAAGATTAAATCATTGTCTGACAAAAAGTACTCTTCCAGTTCAAATTCATGTAAACACTCTAGTCACGTATTCTTTCTCAATATTTTATAGAAAATCGGAAGGTCTAAAGAAATTCAAAGGAAACTAAACGGTGATTCAGATTTCCCTTGACCAAAAAGTGGATATGAAGCTCAAAGAGAGATTCCTTACTGCTTTATAAATTCAAAGGCTTTTCACAAGGATGCCAGAGCCAATTCCATAATTGTTTTATAAGAATGAAAGGAAAAGTGTAAGTAGCTCTAATTTTTGGGACAATTGATCGACTTCTGTTACTCAGCCAACCCTAATATTGATTTCACTTGTTTCAGTGGTAACGTCTCTAACTACAGCACTGTGTGACGCGGGTTCCAATCTCAGAAGGAATATGAGTTCCTTCAAGGTTGCAGATACGCCTTGCTAACTGATGAGTGCCAACTAGCACGAAACCTAGGTCGATCAAGGTTTCCTGTCGATTGCCTCCAACTATCTAACATCAACAATTCAAAGTGCACCGTGATGGGGAGGCACCTAGCTTTGTGGTCACATTGCAAGCTTAACTGATAGAGTTCAGTTTGCACCGAAGATAGGACTAAACACATTACACTAGTTAACTGACTTGTGTCCATTCATTGTTACTTTAATTGAATATATTTTTGCAATGTTAAACGCTATCTTATCAAACTTCTCACCTTGTCACGTAATGTTTTTACTTAACTACTAATCCTATCAAATCAATTAAGTTTACACCCATTTCTAAGATCTTTACGTTCTATGGACTATTTTATGCATTTCATAATCTGTTTATCGCTTGATATTGAACTATGATTATAATCACAAATATTTTGTCACGATTCACAATATTCCTATAAGAATTTACACATTTTGTTTAAATTTGCAAGCACGATACATTTTCTTAAAAATCATATACCTGCAGCTTGATAAAAGATTCACTGAGAAGAGTTCCTTTTGCTGAATATTGTGTTCTTAAATTTTAAAAAAGACATGCTATCATTGTATACGAAGAAGGGTAAATGTTAAGATTTTTACAACGAAACTGCTATTGACTTACTTTGTTTTTGTTCTTCTAATTCAACTACGGCATTTTTCAGCTGTCTGAAAAAAGAGAATAAAATAATAACAACTCAAGTGTTTTCACATCTCATCCGTTTTTTTTGCCTGAGTGTGAAAATCGTATTATAAGTGCCTTAGTAGGTAGGGTGAAAAGATAAGTGTAGATAATAACGGAAGAATTTTCTTTTTGCTAAAAGAAATCAATTTTAATATCCTTTAATATTTTCAAGGCAAATCGACTCACTTTAGATAACAATTTAGGTGAATAGTATGTCACATTTTTTAAGTAATTTCAGTAAATAAGATTGACAGATTCACTAAATTCTATGTCGTACCATTATAGAATTCTATATTTATTGCCACATGTTATAAATGTACACGTATTAAAAACACAAAATGCATTGATCTTCCCACAGTGACATCATTATACTATACCTTATATATATATATATATTCCACAACACTGTGTGCTCGTTAACCCAATCAAAAGTAGATGAGTATTCTGCTCACGTCAACTCCAACTGCATTTACCAATTTACTTGCACTTGCGGAAGCAAGTACATAGGAAGGACTGAGAGGAAAGCATCTACTAAATTTTCTGAACACATTCCAAAGAGTCTTCGGACAAAAGGAAGAAAAGTGTTATCGAGTGCAATCGCCAGACATTTAACTGACACAGGACAATATTGCAAAAATGTTCATTCAGACATCTATAAAAACAAAATAATCGAGCAAAGAATATTCTTTTCGATAAATTCCTCTTCCAGGCTCTACAATTATATATATGTTTTTATACACAGAATATTTTAAATTAGTAGTTATTAACAATATTAGCGTTTTTTCAAATAATATCGATTTGTAAAGTATGATCAATGCTATTGCAGTTCATTAATGATGCTTAAATTATAATAATAATAAAGATATAACAGCGGATAGAATATCAACTAAAATTAGGGAAATTTCACAAAAATTCTGGATTATTCAAACCTGGATGGCCAAGGTAATGATAATGACTGGACTAACTTCTTTTGGGTGCATAAATTAGGCTTATTAATATGAATCCCCACAGCCTCAGCAATATTTAGAAGTCGAACTCTTAAAGCGAAATTGAGATTCATAGGTATGCGGTAAATGACCCTGAAAGCATGATTAACGTCAATCTTGTGTTCTGTCTCCACAAGATGCGCCAGAATAGCACTGCGAATAGATTTTGTTTGACCTTTGCTTAACCAGGCAGGGTGATGTTCGGAAATTCGACGAGAAACACGCCTAATTGTACGGCCTATGTAACTGGCTCCACAGGAGCAGTTAAATTGGTAGATACACATGGAAGAGGCGAAATTAGGCAGTTTGTCTTTTATTCCCGAACGCAGAAGAGGAGTGGTTTTGAAGATACAGCGCAATTGAGCAGCAGGGAATGTTCTTTTTACCGCATTTCTGAGGCGATGTGTTAGTATTTCACTTGTGTTGTCTCCTAGGAACTGCATCTGCAAGAACAAGGATTTCTTTGGAACTGTTGGTACCTTGGATTGTTTTGGTTTTAGATTCATATTCTTATCAATAAACTTTTCCGGATAACCATTCTCACTTAGCAAACGTTTAATATTGTTGAGCTCCTCGTCAAGACATTCATCCGAGCAAATCTCTCTTGCTCTGTGGACCAGGCACTTTATTAGATTGCGTTTGTATTTCAAGGGCACAAAGCTGAGAAAATGTGTGTACTGGCCGGTTGATGTAGGTTTTCTATAAACATTTCTTCGTATTGTGCCATCCTCTTTTCTGGTCATAAGGACGTCTAGAAATGAAATACTAGAGTCTTTTTCTTTCTCAATAGTAAAATTTATTGCAGGATGTACCTCATTAAATTTATCCAGGATGTCCTTTGCCTCATTTTCGTTCTTCATAATCAAAAAAGTATCATCCATGTATCGACAATAAAATTCGAGTTCATTAATAACATCTTTCAAAGGCCCATTTTCTAGTTTCGCCAGGAAAATGTCGGCTAGAATGGGTCCTAGTGGCGACCCCATTGCCACACCGTCGATTTGTCTATACAGTTCCTTATTAAATAAAAAGTGGACATTCATTGTACATTTCAAGAGAAGCTCCTTCATGAAAGCTATAGGAATGCCAATCTCGATGTTTCGTCTTTTGAGTTCTTCACATATAAAGTCCACTGTTTCCATGAGAGGTACATTGGTGAATAAAGAAGATACGTCAAATGATATCATAAATTTGTTATCAACATTTAAATCTCTTATCCTTTCAACGAATCCAAATGTATCCTTTACACTATGTTTCACCAACTCAGTATGAAGGGGCTGTAAGAGTTCAACTAACCATTTGGCTACCGGATGGTATGGTGAATTTAGCATATCTAATACTGGTCGTAGCGGTACACCATTTTTGTGCACTTTAGGCGAGCCATATAGTCTTGGTGTGAACGTTCCGGTGGGTTTAAGTGACGTGTACTGACTCTGTGAGATGAAGCCTTGTTGTTTCAGTCTTTTCAGTGTTTCCGCCAACTGCATCTCTATCTTTTCAACCGGATCCAGAGAAGAGGAGATTTTTTGGAATTTTGAATTATCATTAAGAATAGTATTCATCTTCTCAAAGTAATCCGCTTTGTTCAAGATAACCACTCCTGAACCCTTATCCGGTCTTGTTATTATTATGTTGTCATTTTTGCGGAGAGTATCCAGGGCTTCTCTATGTTTTTTGGTTAAGATACTATCTGAATTGCGTTTACTGTTCATGTAATAATAGCAGCAGTCGACCAGCGTTGATTTAAATCTTTCAACATCTTCAGTTGATGAGGGTGTAAGGCCTTCCGTTTGGGTGTAGAGACTTTCGAACTGAATTTGTGCATCCATTTTGTTGATTTTTACATGGCTGTCACAAAATTTGGGGCCAAGCGATAAAACCTGTAGATCCACATCACTAAGTATTACATCTGAAAAATTAAACACAAAACGATTTGGGTTCGGTGGAAATCTTGTTTCTGGTGTCTTGTTCTCTAGGCTCTGTACCAGCTTAAGGCGCTTCTTTTCTTTCCTATTGCTCACAATTACCTCCACATAATCCAAAAATAGTTTCTTTAGGTTTTCTGGTAATTCGTCGACCGCATAGAACCTTTCTGTCACATTCTTAGATAACTCAGTAATACTCAATTGAATTGAGTCAATTTGGTTTCGTGCATGGCGTTTAAGAGTCTTATCATTAGGCCGGATTCTGCAACGGCATAGAGATTTCCAATAAAATTTTGGGTACCGGTTTGTTTCAATGCACTGGTGGATAAAGTCAACAGAAGTCTTTGCTAATGGTTAGTTGAACTCTTACAGCCCCTTCATACTGAGTTGGTGAAACATAGTGTAAAGGATACATTTGGATTCGTTGAAAGGATAAGAGATTTAAATGTTGATAACAAATTTATGATATCATTTGACGTATCTTCTTTATTCACCAATGTACCTCTCATGGAAACAGTGGACTTTATATGTGAAGAACTCAAAAGACGAAACATCGAGATTGGCATTCCTATAGCTTTCATGAAGGAGCTTCTCTTGAAATGTACAATGAATGTCCACTTTTTATTTAATAAGGAACTGTATAGACAAATCGACGGTGTGGCAATGGGGTCGCCACTAGGACCCATTGTAGCCGACATTTTCCTGGCGAAACTAGAAAATGGGCCTTTGAAAGATGTTATTAATGAACTCGAATTTTATTGTCGATACATGGATGATAATTTTTTGATTATGAAGAACGAAAATGAGGCAAAGGACATCCTGGATAAATTTAATGAGGTACATCCTGCAATAAATTTTACTATTGAGAAAGAAAAAGACTCTAGTATTTCATTTCTAGACGTCCTTATGACCAGAAAAGAGGATGGCACAATACGAAGAAATGTTTATAGAAAACCTACATCAACCGGCCAGTACACACATTTTCTCAGCTTTGTGCCCTTGAAATACAAACGCAATCTAATAAAGTGCCTGGTCCACAGAGCAAGAGAGATTTGCTCGGATGAATGTCTTGACGAGGAGCTCAACAATATTAAACGTTTGCTAAGTGAGAATGGTTATCCGGAAAAGTTTATTGATAAGAATATGAATCTAAAACCAAAACAATCCAAGGTACCAACAGTTCCAAAGAAATCCTTGTTCTTGCAGATGCAGTTCCTAGGAGACAACACAAGTGAAATACTAACACATCGCCTCAGAAATGCGGTAAAAAGAACATTCCCTGCTGCTCAATTGCGCTGTATCTTCAAAACCACTCCTCTTCTGCGTTCGGGAATAAAAGACAAACTGCCTAATTTCGCCTCTTCCATGTGTATCTACCAATTTAACTGCTCCTGTGGAGCCAGTTACATAGGCCGTACAATTAGGCGTGTTTCTCGTCGAATTTCCGAACATCACCCTGCCTGGTTAAGCAAAGGTCAAACAAAATCTATTCGCAGTGCTATTCTGGCGCATCTTGTGGAGACAGAACACAAGATTGACGTTAATCATGCTTTCAGGGTCATTTACCGCATACCTATGAATCTCAATTTCGCTTTAAGAGTTCGACTTCTAAATATTGCTGAGGCTGTGGGGATTCATATTAATAAGCCTAATTTATGCACCCAAAAGAAGTTAGTCCAGTCATTATCATTACCTTGGTCATCCAGGTTTGAATAATCCAGAATTTTTGTGAAATTTCCCTAATTTTAGTTGATATTCTATCCGCTGTTATATCTTTATTATTATTATAATTTAAGCATCATTAATGAACTGCAATAGCATTGATCATACTTTACAAATCGATATTATTTGAAAAAACGCTAATCTTGTTAATGACACAGGACATACAGTAGAAATCAGCCAAGCCTTCAGAATAATCAATACGCAAATAAACCCATGGCTACTTCGCTTCGCAGAAGCCATTGCAATCAAGATACTTCGACCAGACCTCTGTATACAGAAAGATAGTGTGACTAATCTTTCACTACCCTGGTAACCCTAATTCCACCTTATTTTGTTTTACCTTTTTGTCATTATGCCTGTGTGTTTGTCTTGTTACGAAACATTCTATTCAATTTTGACTTTCACTTGCTAAGTTGAACTGACTATCAAGTTTCTAAATCTACTTAATTGTTTGTCTGTTTAAGTTAAAAAATGTTACTCCACCATTCCCATCCCGCACCCTCTTAAACTCTCCACCACAAGGAGTGTAAATTCACTCTGTTCTCTGACCCTGGCCCTGTATAATGCCTTTAACCAGTCTGTGTTTTCCAGTAGAAATCTGAACTCTAACCCCTCTTATCTAATTCCACTATATATAATTAGTTGTTTTTTGACACCGAATAATCTGTCTATCTACATCAAATTCTGGAATTATGTTCCTTATACCTTCTATCTATATCTCCAAGTAATTATGAAAAAAGTATGTTCCAAAACCTTTTTGAAACTTATAATTTGATTTTGTTTAGGGTGTATGCAGTTGATGAGTATCCACGAAATTAAACGAGCTCGTATTATCCTGCAAACATGTTCGTTCTTTCTCTCTTCAAACTAATAAAGGGAACCGGTTGTATGAAATCATATATATCTGTCAGTTAGTGAAATGCCTACATCAATCCTCAAATGATGTGAATAAAGAAAAATAAATCCTTTAATTGAGGTAACATTTTTGATATTTGGAAATTTCCTGAAGACTAAGACAATGATAAACGCGTTTTGCTGAGGCAAAGTCCTGGTAGTCTTTTAGTCCCCCGTAAAACACTTACATTTGATCTGTACATATAACTAGGTGTCAACGTTGAATATTGTCTTGTAGCCGGTTTGCTTACAATGTTCGCCACTACACTCGGTCGGTCGGTTTTCGACATAGAACTTTGCACATATGTGCGGCAGTTCAAGTCGCCACAATCTATGTAGCACACAAAGCAAGAGAAGGAAGTAGAAGAAATGCATAATGGAAACAGTAAACAGAGGTGTGAGACAAAGGAATAGTAATAGCGGAGAACAAAACAGTTTAATTGGAAATCATAAGTCACAAGGAGTGGATGCATCTGCGCCACTACACTGGATCTTGTATGGTGTTATAGCCAATAATTAAGTAAAGCCAGTTGAAATTTTAGTTGAAATAAGTATTAATTTTATTTTATTTACTTTTTTATTTTATTATAGCTTGACTCCACACAGTATTTTTGATACAAGTATGGAATTTTCAGCATATGATATCGCTAGCCCAGATTTAGCAGACCGACCATTGACATCAGGTGTGCATCGGCCGGGGCATGGTCGGCGCTGTGCCACCGACGCCCTTTTTGAAGTAAACTTTACAACCTTAACTCCTTCTCAATACGTATTATGTTGTATCCAAACAGGAAGGAAACCGATTTTCCTATTATTTTGAAAGATGCGTGCAAAATATTTCACACTGGATAAATTACCGTCTTAAAATGGAATCATTGTAAAGCAAAAATTAAGTGTTGGTCTGTAGGGATTTGATTGGTTACAGGATTTTCATCATGAGCTGACATTAGTTAGAGAACCATTGGAAAACCATCAGGGAGTACTGGACAGCTGTTTCGTCCTAGTTTGGGAGTCTTCATCAGTACGCACCCAAGACCTGGTTACAAGGCGAGCTCGTATACCATTAGGCCACTGGGACCGGATACAATGGTCCTTGAATTCTAACTTCTGCCAATTCACGGCATAGCGCGCGAATCCCGGTGGGTGTGTATTGTTGAGGAGTCCCAAACTAGGACGAAACAGCTGTCCAGTACTCCCTGATGGTTTTCCAATGGTTCTCTAACTAATGTCAGCTCATGATGAAAATCTTGCAACCAAAAATTAAGTATTAACAAAACTGAGTCTTTGCAACACTTCCAAAGTTTCACTAGTCACAATACTTCTTTTCAAATTAATGATGACAGGGGAAACAAAATTGAGAATTACTTTTGTAAATTGGTGATTTCATTTTTGTATACTTCATTTTGTGTTTTAATAGTATCGTAGTCATTAATCTAAAAGAAAGTGAAAGATGTAATACAGAAAAAAGCCTCATTTAGATATTTGGAAAGCAAAAGGATTGCTCAAAACTTTTGCTTTCTAAAGATGTAACAGTTATATAAAAAAATACCGTATTGATTCGTTTATTAATAATAAATTATTTACGTGAAAAATACAGACGACATATTGAAAAATAACAAGAAATTACAACAAAACTATGTATACTCTTTGGGCTAGTTTATAAACTTGAGTTGTATTCACAAACAAATTTACCAATCAGTCAACAGCAATCTGTTGACTTGTACTTATCAATTTTCTAATAGAATTTACTTAAAATCTTCTGAAAATATTTGACTGTATAGATATAGTGGAGATGGTTTGAATGTCAGATGGATAATACTGGCGTAGTTGCAAAGCTTTCCTTGTCTCTATAGGCAATGTTTACCTGTGAAAGGAGTGCCGAGAAACTTTATAGCGTTAATTAAGCTACCCTACCCCAACTCACGTAGTCGTGTAAGCACTTACGGAGGGCTGTCATTTGAAGTGATAGCAACTAGTGACGCCTGTTAGACATGTCCACTGTTCCCATTTTTGTTTACTTTCATAATAGACGAACTAATGAAATGGATATTAATAAACATTAGTGGCGTAGGGATTGACTTAAGGGTAGGGAATCAAGTGGTAGAACATGTTGACCACCTTACTTATTGAGAATTCGAGTCAGCCCCAGTGAACTGATTGCTGACGAAATCTCAGCAAGGATAAGAAGGGCTTGTATGGCATTCGCCAACTTTTGTCACCTGCAATGTAGACAGAATGTCCGGCTATCGGTCAAAGTACGTGTGTACTGCGCAGTAGTTCTCTATGTCCTTTGTGGCTGTAAGACATGTCCATCGAAGGTGAAAGCTATGAAAGGGCTAGTTATCTTTAACTACAGACGTTAGCGTTCTATTTTCCTTTATTAAATGGTTTAATATAGTGAGTAATATCCAGGTTGAGTGTTAGGTAAGGAAGGTAATCTGATCGATGAAGTTTTGAAGCTACGTTGATTGAGATGGCTAGATTAACGCAATATGTTTCAGATTCATAGTGGATATATGTATTATTGACTATTTTTTGCTTGAAGATTCTGTACAATGAGCAAATACCTTAAAGTAAATCACGCTGAGAATTCTGAACTGTGTATAAACGCATTTTTAATTACAAAGATATTATTGCCATCAAAACTTTTGCAATCAAAATTATGAGCAACAAATGGTTCATAATTTATGAACGCTAATTCATATATATATATATATATATATATAATTATCATTCCGAGTGTAATTTAGGGCTTCAAGCCTTAAAGTTTTGGAAGCTGTGGTGTTTTAGATAGCCACATACATGGCCTTCTCTCAATCCCAGGCTTACCATTGGATAGGGAAGTCTTAAGAGTTTGTCAGTAGGGAATCGAATCCGTTTTCCCAACACCAATCTAAATATTAATCAAGCATAATTCCCAAGATAGATAAATGATATGTGGTTCGAAACTATCGCGTTTACAGTGTAACAGTCATTATTAATTCTGAAAGTCTTATTTATGAAACACATTTAATACTGTTAAAGGTCATTGACTGGGGTGATGATTAGGGTCAGATATAATTGAGCAGGTTATTTTATTATTCCCTGGGGTTCCGAGTGCAACATAGGGCTTCAGCAACGCATTTCCACTTTATTCTGCTTGGTGCTGCCCTCTTCAGCTGAGTCCACGAATGACCATAATCTCTCATCTATTCCTCGCACGATCTAATCTATGTTACTCTCGCACTGACGACAAACTCGTCGCTTCTCATTCTGATCCCGGTCCAGCGATAGCCTGGCATGCGATGTCATTCGACAGTCTGTTCAGCGTGTGACCAATCCATCTCCATTTTCTCCTACACATTTGTTGAGCAATCGGCTTTGGCCTGTTGGTTTTTTCCCAGCCAGAGTTTCTTTTTACTAATTCTTTCTGGCTGTCCATTTGATCTTCACTATGAAGACAGCGAAGCGGGCAGCTGCTGACAAAAGTCTGCAACCTGTTGAAAATCCATTTCGTGACAAGGGGTGGAAGTTTCTGACCCGGGTAGAAGGACCGACTTCAGATTGGTGTTGAAAATGCGAATCATGTTCTTTATGCTAACTTTGTGTAGAAGATTTTCAAACTGGTTTCAGGTTGATGAAGGTATTTCTTGCTTTTCTGATTCTGGCAGGCTGGTCTTGACATCTTCATCCGTGCTATCCGCCTGTAGTTGAAACGATGCTTCCTAGATAAGTGAAGGAAGTAACCTCTGAAAAATCTCTCCCGTTGATGATGATTGGTGCTAGTTGTTGTTGATGTTGCTTTTGGTTGGTTGGTTATCGTCATCACCTACACCTCCTCTATGTTCACCTGGAGTTCTGTCTTCTCTGCCAGCCTCATCTGCCAGTTTGTTGGTTTTCACCTGTAAGTCTTCAAGTTTGTGTGACATTTAACACAAATGACCTGCAAAATCCTAATCTTCTAGAGTCTTCTCATAGGTACAACAGATCACTGTCTTCTCCCTTCCCTTGTACAGTCTGACGCATAATCCAGTCCACCACAATTAGGAATATCATCGGTGATAGTAGGCAGTCAGACTTGTCTTACTTCTGTATTCACTTCGAACGCCTCGCTAAGTTCCCGTTGTGGATCAACTGACATGTGACATTACCATATAGCCAGCCGTTTAATGACGTCGATACAGACTTGGGGCACACCACAGTGTTGTAGCAGTATCCAAATTACTTCTCGGTCAACGCTGTCTTTCGAAGGCCTTTTCGAGTGCAGGTGGATAACCCGATAATCCCACAGTCGGGTTAAAAAGGATGCTTACTCTTCAAGTATACACTATATTTAAAAACTTCCAATGACCACTGTATGAACAAGTGACTATTTTCCACTTGCATTTCATTAGACATTAGCAATAAAAACCCATTAACCAAATGGGAATACTTACTTCCATTTCTGTGAATTTGTTTTGTTGTTTTATCAAATCTTGTTTAAGCTGTTCAAATGTTTTCATTTTTTCTTCGAGCATTTTCTGATTTTCTATAAAAAGTAAGAGAATGTTCTCTGGAATTTTGTTCATATCTTCTTACCTGATAGTTGAAGTGATTGAATTTCTATTTCTTTACGTTGTTTTAATAGTTTAATTTCATCCTCCATACGAATTCTACATTCAAAACAAAAAAAACAAAAAACAAAATTCAATCTTAATTAATAGTTCATTATCCACCAACATAGAAATGAGTATGAAGTGGAATACTAGTCTTGAACTAAACAAACACTATGTAGTCAGAATGCAAATTCGGAAAACAACGAGGAGGACAAGATATGGACGAAACTAAACACATACTTCAGCTTCATTTAACTACTTTAGAAAGCTCGTCAGTTTATACTTTACATGAAACAGTCGATATATTGAATACCACCCAATTATCTACAAATTGCTACTAAATAAATCGTTTCCAATACAAGGAGTGTAACTATTTTCACTAATTTAGAAGAAACTGTGATATGGCTGTTACTAAAACATTGTGCACGCAGGTTAATGACTATAATTGGAAATAAACTTATATTATTTTTCCTTAATGACACGAACAATAAAATGACGAAAGTTACGATGAAAGATTACGTTGATAAGTATTGATTTTAAGAAAACAAATTTCTCTGAGTGCAGTTAACAATCACCCAGCATTTTTCGCTTGCCTACTTTAAACATAATTGCTTCTATATGATCCTAAATCCATCTAAAATACTTCATCGTAATTATCTTGTATCCACTCGATCTATTCACTGAGTTGTCTTCTTATTAGGCAATTTACTGACGTAATCTAAGATTTACCATTTTTACCATGAGTTAGGGTAAGTTATGAAATCAAAGTTACACTTATTGGCAAAGTTAAACTATCATAGTCGAAACCATAGTGACCCTGAACAACCAATCGGAATTCAGATGCAAAACAATCACATCATAGTTGAAAAATACACTACAAAATATTGCAAACCTGATATTTCACCGTAAATTTGTAGCTTATGTGTTGTAAGAATGTCTCTCAGTGAATACACAGATGATCTGTAGAGAAATAGTACCACGTGCGATATACTTATTCATCCAGGTGACTGTAGGTCATGGTACTTTGAGATTCATTGACATTTCTGACACTGTTCCTAACTATTTTCATTGGACACTAGTAACTAGTGTGACGTGTCTAATCCTTTCTTTGATTCAGACTGAATTCAATCAGTCAGGTTTTGCAATGTGGCCACCATTCTAGGTAGCTCGCCATCATGGTGCCCATTGATTTGATGATATTAGATAGTTGGAGAAAATCGGCAGGAAGTCACACCTGACCTAGGTTTAGTGCTAGTTGAGACTCACCAGTCAGCATGGCGTATCTGCAACCTTGAAGGAACTCATGTCCATTCTGAGATTCGAACTAGCGTCACCCAGTGTTGCAGTCAGAGACGTTACCACTGAGCTATTCAGGCTCGCGATTGACCTCCTTCAAGGTTGCAGATACGTCTTGCTGACGAGTGCCAACTAGCACGAAACATAGGTTCAAGGCTTCCTGCTGACTGCCTCCAACTGTCTAATACTGTTCCTAGCTCTTACCATAATCCTTACTTCTGATCCTAAATTCAACCCTATTCCCAACCTTAACCTTAGATCCTAAATCTTAATCTTAAAACCTATAACCCTACCTAACACCATGGAATTGCAGATAAAGTACCTAGAGAATAAGTGGAATACTGTATCTGTTCTCTCCAAGTTCATGACTTGATTTGGAATGATATTTCATAGAATTCCCTTTGTCTGATTGGTTCTTGAAAGTCAGCTTTTGGAAGACTTTGACTTTGGCTATCATACTTTAACTTAGCCGACTTATTCATTCTCAGATTGTTAACTTTCGTTGTAGACATTGTTGAAGCAGTTGAAGTGAACGGTATGCATACAACTGATTTATACCATGTCAAATGAAACTGACGGATGAATTAAAAGAAACAGTGAGATGTCTCTAACTGTAAAACACAATGAACGTCAAACTAAAGAAACAATTTTTCTAGCTAACAGAAATATAATACAGGGTTTACACATTAATTATTGTGAGGAACATTGTTTGTGGGGTTATCTTTTAAACACAATTTATTTCCTACATTTATTCAAAAGGAATTTCGAAGTTTGGTGATTACTTCTTATAATCCACTTCATTTTCATTCTCTTTATCATCACTCATATAAATAATATTTTAAAAAATGAATGAAGCCCGTGAATTTCGCCTGACTTCAAAAAATTCGCGAAATACGCCCTATTACTGCACAAATACCTAGGGATTATCAGTGAGTACAAATGTCGAGCGAAACACTCTTAAGCAGTTTCAGAAATGAACCGAATAACTATCCAAGTTTGCACTATCTTCAAAACAAATAACGATGATTAGACTTAAGTATCATAAAAGTGAGAGAATTCATTGATAAGACAACATCCCATTTTAATTTTCCATACTTTAGATCAATACTAAGCTCATAAAGTAAGACAGATATAGATAAATTGGCGAATAATTTTATGTCTTTTTAAGAATTTATTTATTTCTTCTTCTATGATAACTTCATCAAAAAAAATTGGTTCACAGACAGTAGGGTCAAAGTATTGATGGCAAGCAATACAGGTCATACAATTAAATAAAAAAATTGAGAAAGACAAATTAAGGCTAAAAGTTTAGTTAAGGTAAGATATTTTGTGAAAAAAAAAGATTATAAAGCCAAAAAGTATGTCATTACACGTTCACAACCACTAACAAGACAAAATCATATGGTAGAAAAATCGTTTTTAACAGTTTCAATGAAATAATCTTGAACAGCTGGATAACAGTAGGCTGTTGTTTTGAATAAAGTAAGAACAACACTTTGTACAGAATAATATGGTAACATCATTTATTTCCTTGCCTTCTGATCAGCTGCTTACAGCCCAAGGTAATTACTAACTTTATGCACAGGACAATCTTAACATACCTGAAAATGTTACATAATGTCAGTTTTTAAATTACGAAAAGTACCCATTTATTCTTAAGTAAAAACACAGTTTTTTTGTTCAGCGAAGAAATTTCTTTTCAACGACTTCATTTTCAAGCTGTACAGTCGTATTAATATATATCTTATTCATTCTTTATACTCCAGAATTCGTAAAATCTGCTCTGCAGAGACAATCGATGGTGGACTAGATAACCTTCGATCAAACCTCCTTAACAATGGTTATCCTACAAGGTTTATCGAACGTAACATCAAGAAAGAATCCGCCCCTAGACGAATTACAGTGCCAAAGAAAAAACTGTTTATGAGCCTGGCATTCAAAGGTGACACCATTTCGGAATTGATTAAAAATCGTTTATCTAAATGTATTAAACGCACTTTTCCTACAGCTGAATTGCAACTAGTTTTTACCAGCCAAAATATGATTAGACAATGCGTCAAGGATAGATTACCGCTTTTGTCCACATCTATGTGCATTTATTCTTTTACCTGCTCTTGTGGGGCTGTTTATATTGGACGTTGTAAGCGTAATCTCCGAAAATGTGTAGCTGAACACTATCCAGTCTGGTTAATGAAAGGCGAACGTAGAACTGCAAAGTCGTCTGTTTGTGATCACCTGTTAGAGTCAGGTCATTCAGCCCCACGTGATTCATCTTTCAAAGTTATCTACATGGAAAAATCGAATCGATCCAAAAGTTTACGTTTTCTTCACTTATGCATAGCCGAAGCTTTAGCTATACATGAACAGAAACCTAAATTATGTGTTCAAAAACGTTTTGTCAAACCCCTTTCTTTACCTTGGTCATAGTAATGTTCTTTCTAGTTTTTACTTTATTTTATTTTACCACTGGAATTCTTTCGACTTCACTTCACATCTTCATTCTTATCGTAATCGTACTCTTATTTTATAAAATTTTTGGACAACGCTTGACATTTTATAAAATTTTTGATATCTATTCACTCATAAAACAATCTTTAATAATTTTGTAATTTATCTACTTCAACTCTACCCCTTATAACATTTTAATTATCGTTATTCTTATCACATATGTATATTGACTGAGCAATTATTTAGTGCCACTTAATAACCTTTTCTGTAATATAAATACGACTGTACAGCATGAAAATGAATTCGTTGAAAAGAAATTTCTTCGCTGAACAAAAAAACTGTGTTTTTACTTATGAATAATGTCAGTTGACAGGAGGCTTCAAAATTAATGAAGAGTTCACAGAAAATTACACTTATGTAGTTTCCAAGATTTGATTTGTAAAGATTAGGTTTGTTTTTCGAGTTTGATCGTGGATTGATATCATTTAGATAACCATTGAAACAGCTGTCCAGTACTCCTTGGTTTTCGATGGTTCTCCAACTGATATCAATCCAAGGTCAAACTCGAAAAACTTATGTAGTCTATACACAGAGTTCAAGTTTAAACAAAAATAAATGCTTGTTTACAATAACAAAGGAGTTTCGTAATAAAGATGAGCAAGATAATGAGTAACTAATAAATAGTTAGCTCAAATCATAGAAATAAGAGACAAGCAGAGTTACATGGCACTACAGGGGGAAAGGTTAAAGTCAAAGACTCCTCAATCGAATGAAGGAGAGAATAAAGAGATCCACTTACCGAGGCAAAGAAGGACTGATAACTGTTTCTTTCTGAACACATAAATCAGGTTTCAGGCGTTCAATAGCGATTGCTTCGCAAACTTGAGAAGTGAGCTATTTTGTCTGTTGATAATTTTAAAGGATTTTGTGATATCCAACTCATCAACCATATTGTTGAGAAATCTGGCAATGACACTATTGTAACCGTTTGTTCACTTGAGAAGTAGGCTTTTTGCTACACGGTCAGAAAGTCAGAGGTAAGTCCCTCTTGCTGTTCTCCCAATGTAACTGCTACCGCAGATACATGTAAGTTTGTATACAGAGGATTAATATGAGAAGGGCATCTGTTGACTTTTGATTGTTCAGAATAGCATGTCCCATAAACAGGAACCAACTTAGCTGCAGGATATTATTATTATTATCATTATTATTATTATATCCTTTAATTCCTCAAGGAACATAGGGCTTCAGCCGTGCGTCTCCATTGCGTTCGGTTCTCTGCTAGAGTCTTCACCTGGCTCCAAGTCTGCCCACACGTTTTCATCTCCTCTTCACATGACCTCCTCCAAGTCACCCTTGCACTGACGACCAACTCGCCGCTTCCCTTTTGGGTTCCACTCGAGCAATGGCTTGTCTAGTGATGTCACTTGATGGTTTCTTCAGAGTATGGCCAGCCAATCCATCTTCATTTCTTCCTGCCTATTTGTTTCACAATCGGTTCCTGGTTAGTTCGCTCCCAAAGATCCCTGTTGCTGATCTTTTCTGACCATCTGATCTTGAGTATTGAGAGAAGACAACTGTTAATGAAAGTCTGTAGTTTGTTTGAGGTGCTCTTTATGACGCGCCAAGTCTCTGATCCGTATAGTAGCACTGACTGACTTCACATTGGAGTTGAAAATCCGGATCTTATTTTTGACGCTGAATGCTGTTGACCTCCACACAGACTTGAGAGTAATGAAAGCTTGCCTTGCTTTCCCGATCCTTGCTTTGATATCCTCGTCAGTTCCGCTGGCCTGTAGTTGAAACGATGCTTCCAAGGTAGGTTTCGGCTAATGACGTAGTCAATCTTCTGTTGAATATTTGAGTAATGTTTTCACCTTCCAAATTGACTTGAATGAAGATAGGCTTTTTTTCTCAATGTGATTTGTTTGGCATTTGAGTCTTTATATCTTCTCTACTCGTTCATGAATTTCCCGGACTGTTAGTTTGCACGACTGATGAACTTTCCAATAGCATAAGTACCTGCTGCCTCATAAAGGATCACATTTAAAATCACCATGCCTGTCATAATCATATTCTCTTTAATCTTTTTTCAGTATCATCAAAATCACTCAGTTCTGTTATATTTTTACTTTGAAAAACTAAAATATAACCCTTGTTTCTATATATTATATTATTATTCCCTTGGGTTCCAAGTGGAACATAGGGCTTCAAAATCACATCTTCACTTTGTTCTATTTGATGCTGTCTTCTTCAGCTGGGTCCACGATTGCCCATAATCTCTCATCTCCTCTTTACGCGATCTCCTCCATTTAACCCTTTCTCACTGACGACTCACTCGTCGCTTCCCATTCAGATTTCACTCGAGCAATTGCCTGCATTGCATGCGATGTCATTCTATGGTCTCTTCAGTGTGTGCCTTATCCATCTCCATTTTCTCCTACAGATTTGTTGAGCAATTGACCCTTCGTTGATCTTTTCCCAGCCAGAGTTTCTGGTTGGCTGGCCATATGATCTTCAGAATGGAGGCAGTGAAGGCAGCTGTTAATAAAGGTCTGCACTAGACTGGTGTAAATCCTTTTCGTGTTGCAGGCGCCAAGCTTCTGATCTATAAAGAAGGACTGACTTGACATTGGTGTTGAAAATTTGAGTCTCGTTCATTATGCTAAATTAGTGTAGAAGATTTCCAAACTGGTTTCAGGTTGATGAAAGCGTATTCTGCCTTTCCGATTCTGGCTGGCTGGCTGGCTCTGACATCTTCATCCGTGCCATCCACCTGTCGTTGAAACAGTGCTTCCTAGATAAGTGAAGGAAGTAACCCCTGACAGATCTCTCCCGTCAGTGGTGACTGTTGCTCATACTTGTTGTCGCTGTTGATTGGTTGGTCATCTTCATCACCTCCTTCTTCTCTATTCTCACCTGGAGTCCTCTCTTCGCTGCCAGCCTCATTTGCCAGTCTGTCGGTTTTTGCCTATAAGTCTTCGAGTTTGTATGACACTAGGCAAATATCATGTGTGAAATCCAGATCTTCTAGAGTCTTCTCATAGGTGGTCCGGCGTATTCCTGTCTCCTCGCCCCCCAACAGTCTGACGCATAATCCAGTCCAACATAATTAAGAATATCATCATTGATAATAGTCAGGCAGCTTTGTCTTCCTCCTGTATGCACTTCAAAGCCAGACCTCGCTGAGTTTTCCGCTGTGGATCACTTGACACGTGACATTGTCATATAGCCAGCTGTTGAATGAGGTTGAAAAGCACTTTGGAACTGCACGCCATAGTGTTGAAGTAGTTTCCAAATTACTTCTCGGTCAACGCTGTCTGGTGAAGGCCTTTTCTAAGTGGATGAAGTTGAGGTAGGTGTTTGACTACTATTCTATACTTTGTTCTGTGATGACGATTCGTAGAGCTGCAATTTGATCAGAACATGATTTGTTTTCGCCGAATCCAGCTTGTTCCGGTGAGGTGCGGAGTTCTGTATCCAGTTCACCTTTCATTCTCTCCAGGATGATGCGACTTAGTATTTTACTTGGCGTAGATGGACAAGAGCATGATTCCACGCCAGTTCTTGCCCAGGACAAGGCTTCCCTTCTTTGGCAGCTTGACGAGGTAGAAAGCCTTTCTTTCAATCAGAAGGCACCTTTCATTCCCTCCAAGCCTTTTACAATAATGGCGTGAACACATCTGCCGCAGTCTCTTGGTCCGTACACTTGTATCTAAATACTCAAAAATTGATTCAAGCTGTCTCAAATATTTTAAATAGCATATAATGCAAATGCTAACAAACTGTAGGCTTTTAACTGACACAACCACTATGTGTTTGAAAAACCGTCATTAGTTCTTTTGAAATAAAAGTGTATTTACGTATAGTGTAGGTTTACAGTTGATACCTGCACCCCCGGTGAGTGATGATGTTCCTACTGCTAGTCACCATCAACCGAAATGTTACACTACGAACATTGTCTTAGCCTTCATACTAGGAGCCGATATGTTAATAGACACCAGACATTTTGGTCCGACATAATTATTTAGCGGGAAATGCAAATCACCTTAAACTCAAATAACAACACTGCTAGCAATCAACATTATAATAACATAACACTACAGACAACAGTATATGTCGATTTACCTGTCTACATGTTCTTGAATTTCACCTTCCAAGGTTTTTTCTCTGATTTCTAAAAGATTTTCATGCTTTTTAATTTCTATTTCGCGTTTCTCATGATCTTTAAGCATTTGTTTTTTCTCACTAAGAAAATAAATGTGCAAAAACGTTTTTTTTTCTTTAACTACTTTTTGTAAAATAATGTAGATAATTAAAATGAGAAAATCAACTTTCATCATATTGCTTAGGGCATTTAACAAGAAATTTATAAATCTGTTTTTGCATACTCTACTACTAAAATGATACCTCTGATTCTAGCAGTTACATGCCTGTCTATCGATTTTATATACAATATTACCGTTGTGTATTATGTTTCAACTTGATTATTACAAGAATGTAGTTATAAAGTGATACAAATATCGATCAGTATCATATAGTCCTTCTAGGCGAGGACGCTGACAAAATGCAGAGTCTTCTGAACACCTTGAGCAACAATCTTCGTATGTTTGGCATGCGATTCGCCCCTGTAAAATGTAAGATGATGTTGCAGGATTGGACCACACCGACCCCTAGGTTAGAAATAGGAAGTGAAGTGGTAGAGCACGTTGACCGCTTCACTTACTTGGGAAGTACCACCAGCCCCGACGAGTTGATCTCCGACGAAATCTCAGCACGAATACAGAGGGCTAGTTTCGCATATGCCAGTTTACGCCATCTCTGGCGTAGACGTGATATCCGACTATCGACCGAAGTGCGGGTGTACTGCTCAGCAGTCCGCTCCGTCCTCCTTTATAACTGTGACACCTGGCCATTGAGAGCAGAAGACATGAAAAGATTAGCTGTCTTTGATCATAGGTGTCTGCGTTCTATCTCCCACGTGAAGTGGTATAATAAGGTGAGCAATATTGGGGTTAGGCGTCGAGTGCTAGGTAAGGCGGGGAAATGAATCGACGAGACTGTGAAATTACATCGACTGAGATGGTTAGGACATGTGTTACGTATGCCTAGTCATCGCCTCCCTCGATGAGCAATGTTAGCTGATATAGGGCCAGGCTGGAAAAGAGCTAGAGGTGGTCAAATGAAAACATGGCACCAGTCAATGAAATCTACAACAGTTAGATTAAGCCGGCCACGTAGGAAGGTGTAGACTTCCTGGTTGAAGTCTTCGAGACTAAAAACCAACGGCTAGAGACAATCGGTGATATGGCTCAAAATCGTTCTCAATGGCTGGCGCAGATGCATCCACTCCTTGTGACTTATGATTTCCAATGAAGCTATATTGTCCTTCGTTATTACTATACCTTTGTCTTACACCTCGGTTTACTGTCTATATTATGCATTTCTCCTACTTTCTTCTCTTGCTTTGTGTGCTACAAGGAGGGAGTGTGGCGACTTGAACTGCCGCACATATGTGCAAAGTTCTATGTCGAAAACCGACCGACCGACCAGTATCATATACTGAATATGCCTACTGAACGGAAGTCTTCAGTCAAAGACCAAATAAATCCCTTTAACGAAGCACTTATGTATTTTCCATCACAGGTCAACTACTGAATATGAGAATTTATGTGGATCACCTTTATAATATAAGAAATATGTACAGAATTCAATACCTTTATCGAAATTTTAAAAAGTTTACTTTTAAAATCTCATGCATAGTCATCAAAAGTATACACAACTTAAAACTTTCATATAAAAATGTATGAATGGGTCGATATGTTATGTTAGACTGCTTTTAAGTACTTAAAGTTTTAAACATCTCAAATATGCATAATGCAACCCAGAGAATAAATGATTAGTCATGTGACCATATTTAACTTCTGACAGAATTATATTAAATATGGTTACTAAATTCAACATTTCACTTCACTTTACAGTACAGAAGTTTAGCAAGTTGAAAATCAACTACCTTACCTACGTTTTATGCCAAGCAGAATCGAACTCTGTATTGCTGTATTTCAGTGTTACAGGTTAACTATATTGCTTGATATTACAACACTATAAGCATGAGCATAATAATATTGTATGCATAAATTCAGGTGAACATAGACAAGACGGAGGTTATGAGAATAACCAAACAACAACAGCATCAGCAACATCCAGCGCCAATCACCATCAACGGGAAGGATTTGAAAGAGGTTACTTCATTTACTTATCTAGGAAGCATTTTCTCAACTACAGGAGGAACGGACGAGAATGTCAAATCGAGAATCGGGAAGGCGAGAAACACATTCATCAACCTGAAACCAATCTGGAAATATTCGTCACTCACCATCAACAACAAAATTCGGATTTTCAATACAAACGTCAAGTCAGTTCTTCTATACGGATCAGAAACGTGGCCAGTGTGTCTCAAAGAATATTTCCAACAGCCTGTTGCAGACCTTTATCAACAACTATCTTCGTTCTATACTGAAGATCAGATGGCCGGAAAGAATCACCAACAAGAAACTATGGGACCAAACAAAACAGGAACTAATCGCCCAACAAATATGCGAGAGAAAATGGAGATGGTTTGGACACTCGCTGAGGAGGCCGTTGGGTGAAATCGCGCGTCAGGCCAACGCTCGATTGGAACCCGAAAGGGAAGCGGCGAGTGGGACGTCCAAGGGTGACATGGAGGAGATCGTGTGAAGAGGAATTGAAACAGTATGGATTAACATGGACGCAGGTGAAAAGTACAGCAGAAGATAGAAGCAAGTGGAGACGTGCAGTTGAAGCCCTGTGTTCCACTAGGAACCCAAGGGAACAATAATAATAATATAATAATAATAAATTCAAATAGTGTGATTTTAACAACATCCTGGGGATAATCATCCAAATGTTGCATTTTTATACAACTAAGAGATAAAACACTTACAACGTTAATATATTAAATCACTTCTCACTAATCCAACCACAGTGATTTCATTAAATGGTTATAATTCAGATAAGCATGGTTACATCACTCAAAAATATCTGCATTTTATTGATTTCAGAATTTAAAATGCTTAAAGATATTCTCTTTATGCCTGGTTTTTTAACTTTTTTTTCTTTTCATATAATTTTATTCTCCCTACAACTTCCTTTATCTATAATTTTATGATGGCTTCAATTAGTATACATCTAAGTAAAATTTTAAGCTGACAACTCTGTTTGTCTGTCACTACATATTTAAATTATGCTTAGCAGTTCCTCCATCACTCCATGAAATTAAGAGTTAGATATACAAACTAGCAGAAATATCAAGTAGGAGAATGAAGACAACTGTGTTGTAAAATTAGACTATTCCTTCTTCTTTTGTTGTATATTGTTTTAGCTGTTGTGTCTCCCTGTCTAATATTTCAAAAAGCACAACTGGTTTCTTTGTTTATCTAAGACTTTTTTCCCAAAAGCTTAAAATAAAAAATGATTGGTAAATTCTTGACTATTTAGTCAGAAAAGTCGATGGGCAAATGATGTGTAGTATCATTAGTGTTTCACTAGACTCTTTTTCCACTGAATAATTCATTTGTGGGTTACAGTGAACTAGCATAGGAAATCACTTACCTCAGCTAGAAGAGATGACGAGTGTTTAAATTTACATCATTGAAACATTAGCCGTAATGTATTCATACCATAATATAAATATAAAATTACTCTTAAAAGCCACTCAAAATCTAGACTAACAAATTCTTATGAACTAAAGCATAGATTGGATAATTTTAAATTAGATCGTGAAGGGAAAAAAATGGTTAGTTTTGACATTGTCAGTTTATATAAACGTACACCGATAAATATAGCTGTAGAGGCAGCCAGAAATGAACTTATTTCTGACCAAGAACTTGAAATTGGAATAAAAGTGCCACTTGAGGACATAATATGCTGGGAGTGCAGCTATGCCTGACTTCCAAGGTATTTAAATCCCAAAGGAAAATATACCAACAAACTGAGGGAGTTGCCATGAGATCACCAAAATTCCTGACTGTGGAAGATATATTCAGGGATAAGCGGGAAAACTTAGTGATTGAAAGGTTCAGCCCCACCCCAAAAGCATGATAGAGGTATGCAGATGACACATTAACCACACTTAGGACACATGATATAATTAGATTATTCGAACACATCAACTTGAAGGTAGAGGCAATTCAGTTCACTTATGAATTAGAAAGTCGGGAAGGAGAGCTTCCAATGTTAGATTGTAGCGTAAAAAGGAAAGAAGATAGAAAGTTAAACACTGGCGTTTGCGAAAAACCCACACATTAAAACCGATATTTGGATTTCGGATCATCCCATCCTATGTCAGTAAAAATACGATTAGTGAAACGTTTGAGTAATAGGGCACAAAAACTAATTAGTATCAAGGAAAATCTAAGACAGGAAGTGAGGCATATAAGAGAAGCTTTGAAAAGGAATAATTACCCTGATAAATTATTCAGGAAGTATGCAAAATAAAATTAACATTAATGGTATTGATAATGATAAAAATATTATTAGCGACAACATGAGAGTTAAGCACGCACAGAATAATGACAACACCAACAATAGGGAATATAAATTATCAGAAGCACTTCCATACGAAGAAGGAACTTCGGAAACCTTAGGGAGAATTTTTAACAAACGAAGGATAAAAGTCGTATTCAAACTCAATTAGAAACAAATTGTGTCAGTTAAAGGATGTATTATTGATATAAGTATAAAACTTGGGCACCGTAGTAGAGCATAACTCCATTATGGATAAGATTTTATTTTGATAAATCACGCAGCGTTGTACAGTAATATTAAGTGATGACGTTTCGAGCACAAATTATTGTTCATAATCATATCAAGTTAAAGTCAGTTAAAGGATCCTGTAAAGCCCACTATACAAAATTAATTTGTTTTTCTAATACCCTACAATGATTGTCAGGTCAAACACATAGGTCAAAGTAGTAAGAATGGGTCAGTCAGACCAGCCGAGCAAAATCTAGATTAGTTGACCCGAATAAGATAAGAAATCTAGAGAATAGTTCAGCTATAGCACTACATGCAATTACACACAGCCAAACAATAGGACAGATAAGATGACAATAATAAAATCTACTGTAACAGGGTTGAGGGAGAGAAAGCTATATTTATTGAATCAACCGCAAATACGTGTAATAGGAATGATTCAACGCCTGTCCCAGATATATGGAAAATTCTACTACCCCTACGACAAATAGGAAAGAACAAAGAAAACTATAAAACTCAAGTGTCAAAGTCATGTGATCACAATTGATATGATTATGAACAATAAATTTTGTTCGAAACGTAATCCAGTAAATAATACTGTTTCACTGTGTGATATACCTAATAAAAAAAATTAATATAGAACTAGATACTACCACAGTGCCCAAGTTTTACACATGTATTCATAATTTTATAAAAATTACCTTTAGTTCAGACATTTAGAAATAGTAAGCACTATGTGTAACTATAAACTGATGAAATGATGCAAAATTCATATTCACGTTAGAAAATGAAGTTAAAAATAGTAACCTTTCAATTTGTAATCTCTCTTGGTCTAACTGCGTTTTCATCAATTGTATTGTATCTAATTCTGCTTGTAAAGCTTGACGTTTAACAAATGCTTCACGTTCTTCTCGCTGTTGTGATAGGTTGTACTTCTCTTTTAGTAGTTCTTCTTGGTCATTCAAAGATTGCAGACGAATTTCAAATTCTTTTTCTAACTTTAGCAATTTTTAGGAAAGAAAAATTGTTTTAAACTTAAATAAGCTTTTATCTATTTTCGGTGGATCTGTTAAAAAAAAATGGGTGTGAATACACTTTTATTGTTTTACTGATCTACTACTGATAAGTAGGCAGTAGTCACGCAAAACCTTTTTTAAATTAATCGATAGTTGTTTATGGAGTTATAAACATAAACAAATTTCGAGAATTCCCATCCGATTAGAGAAGAGCTTGTTAAATGAATCTAGAATCAAAATGAAATAAGAATTTCAACTGGTGGTTACACGTCATTTCAGCACTTTCCATCATTTAGAAAGGATGTAGGGCATTAGGAATTGACAACAGCAACAACAATTGCATTCAGAATTATCACTATGCTTACAGTTAAAGAGGATGCTGGTTTGAAACTTGTCATCTTTCCAACTTAAGTCATTACGTCTTTACAAAATTCTCCCACACGGTTATGAGATATTTAAAGATATTGTGAACCAAAACAAATGATATTTAGTTCAACTAACTTTAAGTACCACCGGAATTTAGGTATCATACAGGTATCAAGTAAACTTCAGTAAGTTGGGTTATATTTACATATTGATTATTTCTTAAGCCGGGGATCTGATTATCTGCTGAAAAAGATCACTACATAAAACATTATAAACACTTTCATTGACAATTTGTAAACTACTAACGACTCAAACTCAATGCCCTTTGTGCAAATGATGATGCTTAAATATTATTACTCAGTATTCATAGCATTATGGAGTGTCAAAATATTTAGGAACACGTTATTAGGCGAACAGTTATGAAGAGAATTAAAATTTGCTGGTAGCATTTCGGTTGACACGTGATTTGCTCACATTGCGATATACTTTTCTGTATAACTTCAGGATATTTAAGACTTTGATACCAATTGAAACATCTCAAGTTCGTCATATAATTTATCACCAAAAGTCTACTAGTTAGTTGTCCGTCAGACATTTAAATTTTTCAAGTTACAATATTTCTCCACTTATTTTCATTACTTCAGATTTTAATTCATCTAACTTACACGCATCGCATGTTCCTTTACACGTTCTTGAAATCTGTCTTCCATTTCTAATTTGATTGTGTTTAATTCATTTTGACGGAATTCAGTCATCTGAAAACAGAAAGGTTTTGTTAGCAAACAGCATAGGTAGTTTTGACAATGTCAGTTTGGATACAGATGCAGATAACTAGTAAAAGGCAAAACTTTGGCGTGTAATATGTGTGGGCATCAACATAGTAAATTGTTTAGTGCTTGCAATTGTTATTTTATCCCATTTTGGTATAACTTAAATGGATGTTCGGTTTAGACCGCTGTATGTAAAATGACTATTTCGGAAGGAGATGACGCCTGACATCCGTAAAACGAGAGAAATTGCTACGTCCCACCAACTCATTGGCAGCCTGATTTCCAAATCAGCTCCTAAAGTCTTTATCATGAAATCGAATACGAAAAAGTTTCTCATTCGCTGTTCTTTTGTGTTTATAAAGTCCCAGGCATATATATATATTCCTTTACCTTCCCAGTGGAATATAGGGCTCCAAGCTAGAGGCTTCAAGTTTCGGTAGAAGTGGTGTATATTTCAACGTGATTGTGTTGCTAGCCTCATGCCCATCCTTCCCTCTTTACCAGACTTATTACTGGGTTAGAGGGGTAAAGGAGGGCGTCGACCAGTTCATTATAACTAGTCTCATCAAGATATCTAAAGTAGATGATATTGATCTGATTTTATACACATCGGCCAGAACTATAGAGAGAAAGCATAAAATGTATCAGTGTAGAAAAAGAAAATGGTATAGATATGGAAAGTACCGTAGTGTACCTTGAGCCTTTGAATTTTTGTTTTAACGCATTCAACCACTTTTGGCGCCCCACCATCTTGTGTTTTCGCACGTGACTATACACACGTGGTTCGCTTTCTTGTTGTGCTACCACTCAGCGTACTCTCTGAGCTTACAACCCAACCGGGGCATCAGATAAGTTGTATAACATCCTTATTTATTAAAATTGATATTTCATTTGTATAAATAATACAACTCCCTTCAAGACACACTTCCAGTCCCAAGTCTTTTTACTTTGATTTCGATAGTCAGTACTTACACTCTAGGTAGAGTCCTGCTAAGGTTATTAAGCGGTGAAGTATTTGATAAGTGCGGTTATTTGAGGCCTATCATAAGTATAACCCAACACTTACAGTACTAATGCGGCGGCTTGGTTGCAAAACATGTTATGATAAATCTGAAAAAAGACAGACATTTACGTAACCGAAAATACACGAAGCAGGGAGAAACACAGGGATGTCCTTCTATTTTCATCATTTCTCCATTTCATCAGTCTATTAGAAAACCTGATATATAACGAAATAATATTGTGAATTACCTTAATTATATCAGAGTAACAATCATAAATTCTTACCATTTTTAAGTGATAAGAGTGAAATACAGTATTACCTGTTGTGTTAATTTCACCTGGTACTGTTCACCAACTTCACGCTTGTAATATTCCAGTCTGTCTTCAAATGTCTGCTTTAAGTGTAAAATATCTGCTGATTTAACAGCTTCATATTCCTTATCAATATCTTTAAGCCTCTGATCTTTAAACAGAAAAAGAAAGTAAAGCATAAGTGGATAATCGATTTTACTAACAAGCATCCTGTACAGTCATTAAATTCATAACATTTTCGAGATAATTGCAAACAAGATGCATGTATATTTTCCATTTCTGGATCGATCCTATTCCTCCTTGCTTCAAAGTAAAGTGTTGATAAAATTCTAAACTTTTGTCAATGATCGAAAAAAGATATCGTCAAAAGATTTTTCATTATTCCTTGACATTCCCAGTGGATCATAGGGCTTCAAGCTAGAAAAGTTTCAGTAGCAGTGGTGCGTATTTTTACGAGGTGGGGTTGCTAGAATCACGCCCAACCTTCCCTCTTTACCATTCTTGTTAGTGGCTTAGCGAGGTGGTTTGGGGTTCGAACACCGGCCGACGCACTCCTTTACCTCGCTAAAAAACAGTTATTACCTTCTATTTCACCTGACAATACCACTATACACTTGAAATAGCTTGACATTCATTAGCATGGATTGAAACGGAATTTAAACAACTAGTCTCGGAGAACTAAAGTATTTCATTTTAGAAGAATCAATCTTCCTCTTTAGAAGATAGTATTTCTTGAATAAATAAAGCCTGGGGCTTGGTCGTTTGGCCAAGATAATATGATTGACTATAACGTGCAATTTCATCATCTAACACAGTCTTTTTAATAAAACATTCAGAAATAATTATCAAGCCAAAGTAAGAACACTGATTTGATTATCAGAAAAGAGGTACATATTTTGTTCTAGTCATTACTAAGATGAGACACGTGCATTGGTAACTATATACCTATAGTGAGCAGCTGAATATGAAATTTAAGGCTTGAGTAAAATGAAAGCTTAAGTCGAAAATATAGAGTATTCAGTTGAACAAATGCAAGATTGTTAAGATTAGTAAGTATTAAGCGAAGTATAATGCAGATTTAGTGCAGATGAATAATTATGGACAAGGAAAAGGGTGATAGAGTGAGGTGTATTTCGAAAAAAATATTATTAAAAAGAGCGTACGAGTAGAAAAATGGTGGCAATACTTAAGAAGTTGGAGGAATGTTTTATTCTATTTTACCAGTAATTTGACATAAACGTATTAAGATATAGGAAAGGATAATGGCTACAAATGCTGATAACTGTTACTTGAATAATATATTGAATTTTTCTAGTGTCTGCAGTCTGAGGATTTTACTGAAGCCTCAATTGGAAAATGATTCAAAAATTTTCATGATGTAAGGCAATTTTGAATGGTTGAAAGAACCTTAGGGAAGTCAATTTATAGAGAAGTGTTGTGTAATCGTCTGCTAATTTATATATATATATATATATACATGGCGTACGTGCTACTGTGTCATTGGAGTATAGTTAAATCTTCAACGAAAAGCCTTAATCAAAAAGAATATTTAAAATTCCCATAGTAAAAATGGAATACTAAAACCGAATGTCTCTCCTGTCTTCTATATGATATAAATAAACCATGGATTTAAAGGTAGCCTAGCTTTTCACATTATTGGAAACGTTTCTTACGACTTCTCAAGACAACATTCGTTAGGACACACAAATATACTTAAACCAATATAAGTATATGTAAGTATACAAATATAAAACTGTTGATTAAACTCGTGAAAAACTTAAATATAACTGAGATTTTACAACCGTTGTAGATTAAATCGCGGAAAACAGCGCCTATCTGAATTAGGTGTTTGTCTTTACTTGATGACGACTATTCGCTGAAGAAAATGAAAATGACTACTTTATGTTTATATGAATCTGGTATTCATTATATCTTAGCTGGCCAATAAACTAAATTAAACTGAGTTCTTTCATTTTCTCACAAATAGATTATTACGTGACCTATAATTTAGGGGTTTTCTTGGATGGGGAATTCCAACTTTCAAAGTTAAAGTCTCAAATGAAATTTCCTTTATCTTCGCATCTTCAGATATATTGATAAAATACCCGCTAATAAACTGCCACTAATTCATAAAATATCGTCTATTAACACTAGTATTATTCTTCAAGTCGTGTACAATCTTTCGAAAGAAAGTTGTAGTTTTAACGTCTGATTAACCTATAAAGTGTGAAAAGGCAAAACTTAAGTATAACGACCCAAGGAAACGACCAACCAAATGACGTTAAACGACTTTGCAGCAATATTCACAACACCAAATCATTCTCCTGATTTTGCTAATCTGTTGAATGAGATGCACACCAGTTCCAGCAAAGGATCATGGGCGCATTTGAAAAACAGTATTCCAGCGATAAACAGGTCATAAAGTGACATGATATATAATTATTTCAATGATTCCATGTACAAAACAGTGGTTTGAACCAACGCCAAGAGCCCTAATGACACACTGGGAGGTGCTTCTAGTAAGTACAAGAGATTGCCATCCAGTATAATTGTTTTGTCTTCCAGTATCCAATATCGCTTTTACGAGCTAGTTTTAACCAAATTGGTTTTCTTGGGCTGTCTTCTTGTTTGAAAGTTTAAGGTTACTGGTCTTCGGTAAACTTCTGCGCAGTTTGTCCTATCACTCGATAATAGTAGCTTCGGTTAACTCCAAGAGGAATGGTACTGGGATTGACAATATGTGGTTTATAGTATGCGGTGAGTTAAGGCCGTGTAGCTACTGTAAATGGAGTTGGTCGTTCAGTGTGGTTGGAAAGAGAAATTGTAATAATAGTAGATATAATTAGTGTAGATTATGTAGACGTAGGAAAAGGAAACCTGCAAATAGATAGCAAATAAAATTCGAGGTTTATATATATACATATACATATATATGTGTATATAGAAGGGATTTAATAGATAGAGTAGTCAAAAGAGTAAGACAAATGAGAATGAAAAGTAGTAAAGGGACGAGTTTAGGTATCTATCTATTAACGGTGTGTGAGTTTTAAGGGAATAGACGGTTTGGACGCAGTCGTTTGGTTTTCCAGTCTCCTCTTCAAGCTTTCCACGGGCTTTGCAGTAGCTGCATCTGCCAGTAAAGAAATCTAGGAGAGGCAGAATCGAAGTGAGAAGATATAGAAGAGCATTCGAATCTTTCATCTCTGAGGTGATATCCTTCATGGATTGCCACAAATAAGCCAATACGTACTTAATACCTTTATTTGGTTGAGTCTGGTCATTTGTAATCTTACAAGCATTAATTTATTCACCCCTGAGACGTCGAAAGCCAAGTGTGAAAAGACAATTTCTTCAGCCGTTTGTCATTTGGTTTATTCCAGAGACTCGTCCCTGGACTATTTCAAAATGACTAGAGTCCCTTCTGAGTAGCTGGAATGCAATCATATTGCCTTATATAAAGTTCCCCACCATTAAAACTCCTTAGTTGTTCAAATCATTTAGTTGACAGCTTGCTGTGGTCGCTATAATTTAGTTTAGCCCGTGAAATATGCACGAATGTAAATAAAAACTAAATTATGAAGTAAATTTGGTTAAATATAAGAAATCTTAGTGATAAGTGAATACTTAGAGGGGATTTCTAGTTACACGTACCTAATTCGCATACATCCAAATCACATGTTTGAACCGACTTCTGTTCCTTCAAGACATCTGAGATATCTGCTTCAGCTTTCAGAATCGAGACTAGAAAGGAGCATGTGTCCTGGTGATATGACGCCTAAAATATGAGGGTAAGATTAGTTTTATCTCATAATACTATCTTTTTCCAGAGACTTCTGCTTATACTGCATTTTGAGAATGGGAGGTTTTTAATGTGTTCTTCGGACTGGAAGATCTTTAATGAACGAAACTGACCTCACCTCATGACTTGTGAGCCCGATTTCTGGGAGAAAAACACTCAAGGAATAATCATACCCATGTTGTTTCATATGATCTGCTATCAGACAATTCACCAGCCTAACGTTTTGATCGATGATTTCACAATCAGATTTAGGAACAGGATTTTCCAAAGATGCAAACCCCAATATTATCCTCTGTCTGATTTGAGACTAACACATCCGTCTACAAAAAGTCTCAATTTTACCTTCAGTTTATCGATATCTCCTTTCTCCTTCAGTAATCTATAAACATTCCGAACATTTTCATATTTGTCTAGTCTGCTCATACTGTATCGTGCGCCGTAACAATAACAAACTTTACGATGATTTAACCTTTCGATTCGCCTATTATAAACAAAAATACTGATATGAAGAGAGTCTGTGATACTTTATAAGATTATTTGTTCTTCACACGATAATCAGGATTTAAAAGATTCACTTATACTCCCATCTCTACTCAATAAATAATATTCTTTATTCTACAATTTCTTCATGGCATTGGAGAAATTGTATATGGGGGGAGGGGGCGATTATATCTAGTTTGCGGCCTGCCGTTTCTCAAGTCAGAGGGGCTACTGTGACACTTCTGGGTAGCTGGAAACTGAAATTTCTCTGTTAAACACCACCTTTCAGAAAAATTAGCGGTGCTGAATTGGATTTTAAGTCTTACTTTGAAAGTTGATTGATGAATGATTGAAGAGCCAATAAAAAGTACTAAAATTTCAAATTACTATATATCTGCTAACAAGGCGTGTTAAATTTGGGCTAAATAACTGGAAACAGGCAAACCAAAATATGCAAAGTGAAATGTTCATATTTTATTTTATGACTACTCTTCACCTATAGACGGCCTAAAATACATGAATTACTGAGAGAATGAGAAAGTGTACTTTTAATCCTATTAGCAAAAGTCGTGTATGAAGACGGCACTTTAATGAGATGACAATGGGTGAAGTGTGACGCATAATTAGATACGAATGCCATAAAACGAAAGTGGTTATTTGTCTTAAGCTCGTGAAGATATTCGAGTGTGTTCAGATAAGAGAATGGATGCCCGCCTTTGTGTCCTTCTAATGTTCTTGTTCTGGCATGTAAATGTGGACTCGTAAATCCATTTCGATTTGACTTCCGATAATGAAAAACCTTGCGAATATTTCAGATTTTAGCCTCACGCACATTTTCAGTTCACTTAATACGAAATAGCTATATTCAGGCTATGATACGGCATAATTTTCCTAATGCAGAAGTTTACTATTCGGAGGAATGACATATCTGGATTGAAACCTTGCCAATCTCCCATCTTTTGTAACCTGCACACGAATATTTACTATGATAACACTATAAATACGTGACTATGGGAGTCAAAGTGACTGTAGCTCGGGTGTCATTTAAGCATTAAGCGTTATGAAAATACTATCTTATATTTTACTAATATAGCTAGTCATTGTGCTCACAGCCAGTTCGTACTTGCTAGTATTCATTCAGTGATTACTGGAGACTAAAATTATCCCGTGTTTTACGCATAACCGCCAAGGGAGAGACGCAGGGGGATACCAGGGCATAGTAGTCAAGTCTATCAGTGATCAATCAAGCCTTGTTATTAAGGTAAGTAAAACTCAAGGTATTATATTTGGCGTTTCTGTTGGTTTTGAGAAAATTAGGCTTGGGGTGCACACAGTGTTATATCAGGTTAGGAGCTTGCATTTCCAACAGTGGGTTTATTATCAAGTTGTTTATGTATTACGATAAGAGTGAGGAATTAGTAGCGGAAACAAGAAATATAAAAACTCTGTACGTTTCTGATCAGCACTGTTTATAGGACCTAACATGTCTTGAGATGTAAATACCTGTGTGTTGTTAGGGACACTCCATCGTCGTTTGTCATGGAGTCATAACTGATGCACGCACACACATGACAGTTTGACTGGTTCCATTTGGAGGATCTCGAGGTTCACACCATCACCTAGATACTGATTATTTGTGAATTATATTTACTCTATATTTCGAATAATGGAAACCATGTCACTGTTAACGTCATCGTCCTACTTAGATTTAACTCTTGAGAATATCTAAGTGTGTGGAGTATTTTCGAGTGGATATTTGGTTGTAGTGTCGTGCTTGAAGATTCGTTCCGAACAAATTATATGGTATCCACGAATCATTAACACTTCTAAATAACATATTTGGCGTCGGGATTACTCAGTTTAGTGCCATCACAAGATGGTTGACGACGAGGCCATGAATACTTTTGACAAAGTTACCCGATTCAGAGCTAGAAAACACCAAGTTGTAACAACCTACATTTTCAACGTATGACCTAATGTTCGCACCCGGCCTAGCTATAAACGGTAGGGTTGGCTGCAAACACTACCATCTATCGTCAAATTCTCACCTCGTGCCATAATTGTGCAAGTCGGTTTCCAACATATTCAGCCCTTAATTTCGCGTGTTTGTACTCTGTTTAAATTTAGACCTCTTCGCACAAGTTACATAAGGGTAAATTCTGAGCACTTGGTATAAAGTTTTTGTCTATGTTGAACAGAAATCACGTGACCCTTTCAAGTATGTTAAAACTTTTGTGTACAGACAATTAGATTTTAGTTTGTACTCAGCTGAAGAAAAAATTATCTTATCCTGCACAAATATTTGATTTTTCCTAATTTAATTCCTTTTCCCACCGAATTCACAGCCTTTTCACTGCTTAATTATAGGAAAGCAGTTAATTACTCTTCAGGAATGACTTAAAACTCGCCTTCTGGTTGGCTCTAACTAGAAGTAACTCTTTTAATTTTTTGTGAACATCTATCCTGCCAGACTTCTACTTTAGCCATTCTAATGGTTTGCCCTTTAATGTGGCCCACTTTACCTGGTGGCCAGGATGTCCTTGAAACCGCTCCATCTAGTAAAGAGAGGATGTGAAGATTACGGCTGCTCAAGGGTGTATTTACCAACCTACCCAAGCCTAGAACTACGTCATGGTATAGTTTATCTAATAATCAAACCCATTGCTCACTACAAAAAATGGATAATAATTCGACAGATATAGGTGAATACGGCACCCAAACTACTTGCAACACAGGGTTGTTATGCCATGCGGAAACAGTGGATGCCGATCCACACTTGAACCTTATTGACGAGCCTAAACACTACAAACACTACTTCAAATCTCAACTCTACTTAATACTTAACAATGCTAGATCTATCCTAAACAAACTACTGATGCTCAGGGCACAGACGATGGTATACAAACCGCCAATAATTATTATTACCGAATCCTGGTGTCGCTCCAATATACCAGACGAAGAGATAAGCATCGAAAGGTACATACACTTTCGCTGCGACAGGAAGAGTGGTAAGGGAGGGGGCTGCCTAATGTACTTCCTGAACACACTTAATGTGTTACACCTAGAAAATAAGGAACTCAATGACATGCACGAAACCCTATGGATCAACGTACACATCAAAAGTGCTACACTACTAATAGGATGTATCTACAGAGCACATGGCACATTTAGTGATTACGAGACACAAATTATAAATGTACTAGAGAAAGTATCCACGCTTCCAAACGAGCATAAGATCATATGTGGAGACTTCAACCTACCCGAAATCAACTGGGACTTATTTAAAGGGCCAACTAAACACGACAAGCTCTTAGGGACACTGGACATTTTCGGCTGGAAACAAACTGTCACTATCCCTACAAGAGGTGAAAATGTACTAGACTTAATATTCTGTCACGATATAAGCCCTCTCTCAATCTTAGTGGGTTCTAAGTTTTCAGGCAGTGACCAAAAAACAGTGATGTGTGCTCTGCCACTTCCACTTAGTAGCAGTGCAGCTCATACCTTCACTTCACAACAAGTACTATATAGGAACTATAGTAAGGCAAACTGGACCTTAGTAGAATCAGTGCTAAGATCCTCCGAATATGGTGAATACTTCACTACTGATGACCTCTTGAGAGCTCTCAGCATCTTCTACCATAACTCGAACACATGCTTAGATGCTGTCATTGCACTCCAAACACTTGAGCTTTCCCCACATAGGAAGTCATTCATAAAACCAAAGGATCGTATGAAACTGAAGAAACTCTCAACAAGTTACTTCAAACACCACGACTTTGGTACACTAGGTTTAATACTTCACACCCTTAGTTCCATCTCACAAACTCGAGATTTCCATATGAGAAACGAAGAACGCATCGCAGTAGCCAGTCCTGCTAGAGTGTATGCACTCACAGAAATCTTAAAGAAGCGAATGAATCGCAAAAATCACAGCATTTCCCTCCTCATAGACACAGTTAGGCTATGCACTAACTCTGTAGACATGTACAAATTATTTAACTCAACTTTTGCAGGTAACTACCTTAAGCCCACAGTCCAGTTACTCAATATACACCCTGCTACTAATATGGCACAAACTCCATTTCCACACACACCAAACTTAATTAGTACTGTTGAATTTACTTATAGCAACATTAAACTAAGTATAAGAACCCTGAAATGCTCAAAAGGTTTTGGTACTGACGGCATATCATCCTATTTTTATAAATATGGTGGCCCTGACATCCCCTTACTACTGCTTAAAATATTCACAATGTCCCTAGAAACCCAAACTTACCCTGATGCGTGGAAAACAACATTTATTATGCCTAAGCACAAATCTGGCTCGAAAACAGAAGTCAGTAACTACAGGCCGATCAATATCACACCTATCGCATCTAGAATTATGGAGAGACTAGTTAAAGACAACCTAATCAAGCATATGCTTAGCTGCAACATTATAAGTCCGAACCAACATGGATTCCTAAAATCCAGATCTTGTTTAACATGTCACTTAGACTTCTTTAACTTTGTAGCCAGCAGTCGTGACAGACGACAACTAGTACTTGTCATCTACTTTGACATCTCAAAGGCATTTGACCGTGTCGACCATTTACTACTAGTGCATAAGCTGAAATCCTTAGGAATACGTGACCCACTATTAGGATGGCTTAAATCATTCCTTAACAATAGGTCCCAAATAGTTACACTCGGATCTATAACTTCGAAACCTAGCCCAATCACCTCTGGTGTAGTACAAGCTAGTGTCACTGGACCCCTTCTATATACTCTATGTATTAACAACATATGCGCTTGCTTCTCTCATGGGAAACCATTCATCTTTGCAGATGACCTCATAGTAGCTTATACATTCCAGTCTGATGACCTAGGGTACTTCCAGAATGTTGTACAAAAAGAACGAGATAAAGTGACTGCTTGGTCATCTTTATGGAACCTCTAATTTAACCTTAAAAAATGTGGCTGG